AAATAAGTCTTAAAACAATGAACCCCTCCCCCTCACTTACAGAAGCAGAACTGACATTGAGGCATTTATGTTAACAAATAAACAGAATTGAATTCTACATTAAAGCATTACATAAAGGCCTAGAATGGTGGTGATGTGGTGGTAGATAGTTCTGTTTTATCTGGGCAAAGGGGAGCACAGTCATGAAATAGGCATATAGGGCGGACTAACCATCCATCATTTACTGTAATGTAATTGCTGGATCTGAACTTGCCTCGCCTGTGCACATTTGACATCACAGTCTTTCACATGCTGTGTGTTGCTACGTGTGTCACCTTCATCCCATGTGCAAAACGCCTTCCGAACATCTGCAATTCGCTCCCGCAGACAACATCATCAATTAATTGCATTTATACAGCTCCATTCACGATAGGAGGATATCCCAAGGTCCTGAACAGTCGAGGGTTTGCACCTGAGCTGGAATCTAGAGGGGCAGAGGGCAAGAGGGTGAGGATGGGAGGATGACCGAAGGTAGGGTGAAAGAGGAAGGTCTTGAGATAGGCCTACAAGGAAGCAATGGAGGGAGCAATGTTAAGGAAATCCAGGAAGGAGTTCCAGATGGCCCAACTGCCAATACTCAGAACACAGGGAACTGGCCTTGGAAGCAAAGGAAAGTTAGCGGAGGCAGAAAGCATCTGCTGATTGTTAGAGGAAACTTCACTCGTGCGCTTCTCCAGCTTCTGTGAACTTCACATCGGAAGGTTGGGTAGGGGAAGTGAAAGAATATGTGAGCAACACCAGTCTTTCAGCATAAGGCTTTATGGGTCGGGGCCAGAAGATCATCTTCAAGCAATTGACTGCTGGGCTGAACACTGCTCACACAAAACAAGACACTGGATTAGAATCATATAATTATACAGCACAGAAAGAGGCCATTCAGCCTAGAGTGCCCAGGCCGGTTCTTTGAAAGAGTTATCCAAATTAATTCCACTTCACTGTGCTCTCCCCATAGCAAATTTGTCCTCCCAAATTTGGGTTGGAGCAAGGTTGCCCTATTTTGCTTTTGGACAGCAGTGGCGGGCTGCAGACAAGTCCAACCATCTATAAATGGTCCGTATTTCCACTCAACTGACGATTCTCACCAGCAATTTTAACAGATTTTACATGATAGAAAACAGAAACATATTTTCAAAGTATCAAAAGACATTCAATTCTCAAAGGACTAATAAACCCAGACATGCACAGTATGAGATACTGAAAGACACTCATTTATCCAATAACAACTTGCATTTATATAGCGCCCTCCACCCAGGGTAGTGTCTCAGAGTGCCTAACAGTAGTAGAGCCTGACTCTGAGCCAGGGAGGGTGGCCGTAAGCATTTGAAGTGGAAGGTTTTCATGCGGGACTTGAAAAAGGGGAGAGAGGCGGCAAGGCAGAGGGATTGAGGGAGCGTGTTCCAGAATTTTGGGGCACAGTGCCTGAAAGTGTGACCTCTGATGGTGGGGTGGAGGGTGCACGGGACGTGCAGGAGGCCGATGCAAGTTGAGCTGATGTGATGTGGATTGGGCAGTGAAGAGGTCAGAGAGGTAGGGAGGTGCCAGAGAGTGAAGGGATTTGAACACAAGAGTGAGGATCCTGAAGTTTATCCGTTAAGTGAGGGGGAGCCAGTGGAGCCTGGCCAGAACTGAGATGTGGGTACAGAGTTTGGTCCGGGTCAGTATGCGAGTGGGAGAGTTTTGAATGAACTGCATTTTGTGAATGGTGGAGCTGGGGAGACTGGCGAGGAGTGCATTGGAGTAATCCAAGCAGGAGGTGACAAACGCATGCACGAGGGTTTTGGCTACATTTGGAGTAAGGTAGGATGGGAGGCTGGGGTGGAAAAAGGCGGCCCTGGTCAGGGACTGGATGTGGGGGAGTCTTCCTTCTTGCCCACATTCAACTGTAGGAAGTTTGCACTCATCCAGGCCTTGAGGTCTGCCAGACAAGCTGATAGAATATCGGAGGACCGGGTGTTGGTACTGAAGGAGGCAAAGTAGATTTGTTTGTCATCCGCACACATGTGGAAGTTTACCCCATGTCTGCAGATGACATCGCCCAGAGAGAGCATATAGATAAGGTGAAGAAGAGGGCCAAGAATGGAGCCATGGGGTACCCAGCAGGTGACCAGGTGGGGGCGGGAGGAGAAACCATTTGCCGAGATGAAATGGAGGTGGTTAAGTAAGACTTGAACCATGCGAGTGCGGTCTCACTCAGATGGATGAGGGAGGAAAGGCGGTGGAGGAGGATGGTGTGGTCGACTGTGTCGAATGCGGTAGACAGATCCAGGAGGACGAGGAGGCAGAGAGAGCCCTGGTCACAGATAGGGAGGACGCGGTTTGTGACTTTGACAAGCGCTGTCTTTGTGCTGTGGGCAGGCGAAAACCAGACCGCAGGCGCTCGAGGAGGGAGTGGAGGGAGAGGTGTGACCGAAGTTGACCTGCAACAATGTGTTCCAGGACTTTGGCAAGAAAGGGTAGGTTTGAAATGGAACGGTAGTGAGATTAGAGGAATCGAGGGTGAGTTTTTGAGGGGGGTACGATGACAGCGGTTTTCAGGGGGAGTGGAGCAGAGCCTGAGGAGAGAGCCTGGTTGACCGTGTCGGCCAGCAGGGGGGAGAGGAAGGAGAGTTGAGTGACCAGCAGCTGGGTGGGGAGGCGTTCGAGGCAGCAACAATAAAATTAAATTTGTAAAGCGCCTTTCACGTCGGGTGAACATCCCACCCAAAACAGGTGGTGAACTTCATCAGGGTGATTATGGTTGAGAGGGAGGAGGAAGAAATGGGGGAAAAGGAGTGTAAGGAGGGGGGAGTGACAGGAGCTGTGGCGGAGGGAGAAGGTAGTGTGGATGATCTGGGTGGGGTGGAAGGTTCATGGGGAGGGTGATGCAGTCAAGCAGATGTTTTCAATCTTTGAGGCGAAGAAGTCTAGGACCTCTTCGCACTTGGCATTTGATGTGATTCGGGGGGTACGTGACACAATCAACAAAATTGGTGAAAAAAAGTATAATTTATCTAAATAATTAAAAAAAATAGTATAATGATTTCTGGTGCAAGAATGTATTTTGCACTGGGAGGGAATAAGAACCTTTCTGTAAAATATTTTTAAAAATATTTTGAAGAATGAAAACGGGCAAATTGCCACACTGGTTTTCACAAGTAAATTTACCAAAGCTTTGAAAATAGGTACATCTAGAGTTTAGTGTCTTGCATTCTTCACCATGGACTCAACGTAGCCAAAGCCCTGAATTGTGGCCCATAGGAAGACATTTGAAACTTAATCACAAAAGAAATCAGACTTGCAGGTTTAAATGTTATCAAAAATGGTTTACATTTTTTTTTCTCTTTTCCCCACCGTCAATTGTTGCAAAAGAAAAGCTCTCACCAACCTGAGCCAAATGCTGTCTGGAATTAGAAATGCAGGATGCATCGCTCCAGGGAGAAAGTACTCATTCCCAACCCAGTGGAAATTTCCCTGTGTAGGTGGCATACCTCTGTCTGGTTTGGATACTGTATGTGCCAGGCACCCAGCTGACCAAAATACAAAAAGAATTAACTTGCAGTTATATTGTGCCTAACCACATTGAAACACGCCAAAACATGTAATTGCTGTCAAATGTAGTGATTGTATTCGTGCACAAACATAACGGACACGTGTGACAATTCCGCCACGTAAACAGAATGATCGGTTATTTGGAGCACAGTTGTCCATGATATCAGGAGAGGCTGGGAACAGAAAGATCAACCCTATCCTGGGAGCAAAGGGTCCTGGTGCAGTAAAAGTGGCCCTGCCCAGGGGAACCAGGTGCAGAAAGAACGGCCCTGTTCCGAGGTGTAGGAAAGGTGCACCCAGGGTGTGCTTGGAGCTGGTGGAGAAAGTGCAGCACTGGCCTGGAAGCAGAAGGAACTGATGCAGAAGGACCTACCCTAAGAGCTATAGGTGAGATGGTCTAAGAGAGGGTGGGGGGGCGGCTGTTCTGAGAAAGGGTCTGTTCTGAGGAGGGAGCTGTTCTGAGGGGAGGGGGGCGCTGGTCTGAGAGGGGGTGGGGCTGGTCTGAGAGGCGGTACTGCTCGGGTCATGACCCAACTGTGCAGCGCCTTGGGACGTCCTCCTGACGTGAAAGGCGGTACTGAACCAGGTGAGCTCGGCTCCCCCTCAACCGGCTGAGTTGGCTGAGACGGAGCTGAGCTGAGGGGGAGCTGGGCTGAGGGGGAGCTGGACTGAGGGGGAGCTGGGCTGAGGGGGAGCTGGACTGAGGGGGAGCTGGGCTGGGCTGAGGGGGGTTGGGCTGAGGGGGGCTGGGCTGAGGGGGGCTGGGCTGAGGGCGAGCTGGGCTGGGCTGAGGGGGAGCTGGGCTGGGCTGAGGGGGAGCTGAGCTGAGGGGGAGTTGGTTGAGGGGGAGCTGGGTTGAGCTGAGGTGGAACTGGGTTGAGCTGAGGTGGAGCTGGGCTGGTTGAGGGAGGGGAGCTGGTTGAGGGGGAGGCTGGGCTGGTTGAGGGGGGGGGGGGGCTGGTTGAAGGGGGGAGCCGGTTGAGGGGGAGCTGGTGGAGCTGGTTGAGGGGGTGCTGGTTGAGGGGAGCTGGGCTGGTTGAGAGGGAGCTGGTGGAGCTGGTTGAGGGGAGCTGGTTGAGGGGGAGCTGGTGGAGCTGGTTGAGGGGGAGCTGGTTGAGGGGGAGCTGGTTGAGGGGGTGCTGGTTGAGGGGGTGCTGGTGGAGCTGGTTGAGGGGGTGCTGGTGGAGCTGGTTGAGGGGGTGCTGGTGGAGCTGGTTGAGGGGGTGCTGGTGGAGCTGGTTGAGGGGGTGCTGGTGGAGCTGGTTGAGGGGGTGCTGGTGGAGCTGGTTGAGGGGGAGCTGGTGGAGCTGGTTGAGGGGGTGCTGGGGGGGGGGGGGGGAGAGCTGCGGTGGCTGAGGCTCAGGAGGAGCTGTGGTGGTGGCGGCGCGCGGTTGTGACCGTGTGACGCGGTGGCTGAGGCGGGCGGCGCGGTGCAGTGTGGGCCGGGCTGGAGGTGGCCGCGGCGGCTGGCGGAGGAGGAGGAGGAGGTGGAGGTAGGGAGTCCCGCTTCTGGCTGCACCTGCGCCGGAGGAGGGAGTGTCACGTCAGCGGCCTCTGAGCCCGGATGGGGGACAGGATATAGGGCCGAGTTCACCCTCTCCCGCGTATCCGCTATTTCACACAAACCTGTGGGGCGGTTGTGCGGCGGTCGGGGCGGGTCGGGATCGGTGTAGGCCGCGGCCGCGGTGTTGGTTGCGCTTTGAGCGTTGCGGGAGGCGAGGGTTGTGGCCGGAGGAGGCGCCCGCCCGCCCGCCGGTGTTTGACGGCCGCCGACGCTCCCACAGGGACAGCGAGTGGTGGCCACGGCGCCGCTCCTGCCCTCCCCCGCTCTGCCCCCCCCCCGCTCTGCCCCCCCTCTGCCAGCTCTTCCCCCCCCTCTGCCAGCCCCACTCTGCCCCCCCTCTGCCAGCCCCCCCCCGCTTCCCCCCCCCACTCTGCCAGCTCTCCCCCCCCACTCTGCCCCCCTCCCAATCTGCCAGCTCTCCCCCCCCCCCCGCTCTGCCAGCTCCCCCCCTCCCAATCTGCCAGCTCTCTCCCCCCCCGCTCTGCCCCCCCCACTCTGCCAGCTCTCCCCCCCCCACTCTGCCCCCCCTCCCAATCTGCCAGCTCTCCCCCCCCCCCCCGCCCCCCCCCCCAATCTGCCAGCTCTCCCCCCCCCCCCGCTCTGCCAGCTCCCCCCTCCCAATCTGCCAGCTCTCTCCCCCCCCCCGCTCTGCCCCCCCCACTCTGCCAGCTCTCCCCCCCCCCGCTCTGCCCCCCCACTCTGCCAGCTCTCCCCCCCCCCCGCTCTGCCAGCTCCCCCCTCCCAATCTGCCAGCTCTCCCCCCCCCCCCGCTCTGCCCCCCCACTCTGCCAGCTCTCCCCCCCCCCCGCTCTGCCCCCCCCACTCTGCCAGCTCTCCCCCCCCCCGCTCTGCCCCCCCCACTCTGCCAGCTCCCCCCCCCCCCCCGCTCTGCCAGCTCTCCCCCCCCCCCGCTCTGCCAGCTCTCTCCCCCCCTTCTGCCAGCTCTGCTTGCCCAATTAAGTTTGTATGCCACTTTTTACTCAGAAATTCCTCCCCATCTCTCCTTCCTCCCTCTCACCCACCATCGCCTCAATGACCATTACCCCATCACCATTACCTCACGAACCGCCAGCACTACATCTGCACAAATGGCTTCTCCTCCCGCTCTCAACCTGCGGGGTACCCCAAGGATCCATCCTTGGCCCCCTCCTCTTTCTGATCTATATGCTCCCTCTTGGGGATGTCATCCACAGACATGGGGTACATTTCCACATGTATGCGGATGACACCCAACTCTATTTTTCCACCTCTCTTTGCGACCCGCAGTCCCCTGATGTTGTGTCAGCCTGCCTATCGGGCATCAGGAGCTGGATGAGCGCAAATTTCCTTCAGCTATGTTGACAAGACGGAAGCCATACTCTTTGGCTCTCGTCACCGTCTAAAATCACATGGTTCTCACCTCCTTCACCTACCCGACCTCCCCCTAAAACTCTCCGAAACTGTACGCAACCTAGGCGTCAGGTTTGACCCCCAATTATCCTTCCTCCCCACATCCGATCCCTCACCAGCACTACTTTCTTCCACCACCGACACATCGCCCGTCTCCGCCAATACCTCACTCCAAAAGCCGCTGAAACCCTGGTCCATGCCTTTGTCACCTCTCGGCTGGACTATTCAAATGCCCTCCTCGCCGGCCTCCCCTCCACTGCCATCCATAAAATCCAGGTCATACAAAAGTCTGCCGCCCGCATTCTTATCAACACCAAACTCCACTCCCCGATTCCCCCAGTCCTTGCCGGACTGCACTGACTGCCTGTCCCTGAGAGGATCGACTTCAAGCTGCTCACCCTTGTCTTCAAATCCCTGCACTCCTCTGCACCTCTCTGACCTCTCTCCTCACAACAGTGCCCATTGCCTTTCTTCGACCTGGTCTGGCCTCCTCCTTGTCCCCCAAGTCCTCCGCTCCACCGTCGGCAGCCACTACTCCCTGAGGCTCTGGAACTTCCTTCCTCAATCCCTTCACCTTGTCCCCTTTCTTCCTATTTTCAGGTCTTGGCTGAAGACCTTTCTTTTCCACCGCGCCTTTGGTCACCTTCTTCCTCCTCTCCCTGGCTCGGCCCTGGGAACCGTTACTGTGAAGCACTCTGAGACGCCATCCGGCGTGGAGGGCGCTATATAAATCCAAGTTGTAGTTGTTGAGATGTATATATATATTTATATATTCCTTCCCAATACAGGAGAAATGTTCGCTTTACAGTGAGTCTCGTGAAGTGCTTTGAGACGTCTTTCTGATGTGAAAGGCGCTACAGTGCACTCCACTTAAATTGAGTATCGGATAATTGCATGCTCCATTTAACTGTATAGCAATTACTAGGTATCGCCATTTTGCAATTGGCATGGTACTGCGTTCTGCTCAAATGCATATCGGATAATTGCACAATTCACTTAATTGTATGAAAGAGTCAGTAGAATGAATTCACACCTGTATAATCCGTTTGGATAATTGCATTGGTTGAGCTCACTTTAGCTCATTACTTTAGCAGTCCTGAAATAATAAATATATACTGTTTGTTTGTTATGATTATAGTTATGAACTAATATCAGTAGAACTTCAGGTAATTGCATACTCTGTATAATTGCATAGCATCGGCCTGGTCTCAACTTCATGCAATTAATGGAGTCCTGTAGCTTAGTGGTTAGAGCACTCGTCTTGAAAATGAGAGGACCTGGGTTCGATTCCCAGGCAGTGCGAAATGTTAGGCCAGTTTCCATACTCCACATGCCTCTGTTTACTTAGCAATAAGTAGGAACCCGGTTGTTAGTCGATTGGAGGATCACTTTTTCAAGGGTAATAATCCCTTCAAAAAATTAATAAACAATAATTTAGCCCCTCAATTCACGTCCGTTTGTGGGACACTGATGTGTGCAATTGGCTGCCACGTTTCGCACACAAAATATACAGTAAATTCACATCACAGTATATTCTTTCTGTGAAGTGCTTGGAGACGTCTTGAAGATGTGATAAGGCACGATATCAAATGCAGGATTATTATTGTTGTACAGAATGCACTGCTGTATATCAAATTCAAGGATTATTTTAAATGCCCCCCACAAAATCATTTCCAATTCTTAGACTTGCAGCTAAAGTTTGCACTCTAAATACCCTTAGTGATCAGGAGAACACCAAACTATCCTCGTATTTGGAAATTATTTGAATGCTGTAATTTTTATATTTTAAACTTGTAAGATAAGGTTAAAGGTGCCTTTAATAATCTGTGAATTCCCTATCAGACATAATCCTTATTTACTTAATAGTGTTAATTTCGTTTTTTGATGTGCTGAAACCTCAGGAATAGGTATATTTCATGAGTCAGAATGAAGAAACATCCCTGAAAAGTGATTTAATGTGATGCTTCCAGTTACGTTCCTACTTTTCCCACCATTCACTATTTGAGATCCTCCAGTCTGATTTCCATCCTGTCCATAGCATGAAAAAGCTCTGGTCAAAGTCACCCACAACATCCTTTTGTCAACTATCAGACATCTTTGTCCTTAACAATCTCTCCGCTGCCTTCAACACTATTAACCAATTTATACCATCACCATCTTTCTTCCCTCCACAGCACTTTCTTGGCTGAACTGTTACCTGTCTCAATTAATCCATAAATGGCTTCTCTCTCTCATATGGTCACTTGTGATGTTTCTCAGGGATTTAGCCTTGGTCCTTTTCTTTTTCTCATCAACATACTCCCCTTGATGGGGGCGACCCATATGCCTGTCGAACACACGCGTTTGTCAACTATCGGGACTGCTTGTGTTTCCTTATCCTCCACAATCTCTTCGCTGACTTTCCACCTCGACCATAGACCATTTCTGTCCTGTCAGTTATCAAGTCCTGAAAGTCAAAAGTTGTGTCATTACAATCTAGTAGATGCTTTTATATATATATCCTTTTTCTAAAAAAAATTCTGATAAATTGATAACTTTTGTTTACATTTGTTTACCCCTTTATAAAAGTGTAATTGTATTATTGCTGGACTTTTGAAGGAATGCTTCCTTTGGATGATACATTATGATCTTGCATAAAATGAAAACTTTGCCACGTGTTATATTAATATATTTACTATTTTAAGGATAAGAATCAGAAGGTTTAACCCTTCCACTGGCTCTTTGATTTCACTTTGATGCTATGCCACACCTTTTTGTGAGGGACACCTCTGAGCGTATCCCAGCAGATTATTGTGGCACTATTGTTGTACTCAGACTTCATTAAAGAGTTACCAGCATTCCTCTATTCAGGAATAAATTCAAACTGACCTTTTTTAAATTAACTTGGGATCGGCATTCAGAACTGTAAAAATATGTTTTTGCTACTGCCTGTATAGCTTCAAATGTTGTGTAAGAACCAGTTGTAAATTATAAATACCAATTGTGTGCCCTAATTGTAAATATTATTAGCAGACACAAAGGTAATTCCAAACATGCTATGTTAGACCCATGGATGTTGTTGTGCTTTAAAAACATTTACAATGAATTAATTTTGATTATAAAATCAATCATTTACGAAATATATTGGCTTTTGTCTTGTGGAATACACCATTGAATTGTGGTATAAATATATTCTGTATACGACAGTCTTAGGTAAAAAATGTACACCTTTTCTAGTTATGATAATTCTTGTAGATCAGTAGCTTTCAATCAGTAGATGATTCTGGTCAAGGCGTTGCTAAAGGTTGTTTTTGGTTTCCAGTTGACTGTCATAAATTTTATATCACTTAAACTGGATAAAATGCTCTAACGTTGGTGAGCGATTCACTAATTTGAATCGAGTGACATTTTTAATCTGGGAAGAGTGACTAAGTATTAGCAAATTGGTGAAGAAAGGTATATACAGTATATACTGTATTGTTTACAGGCTATTTTTGAACAATTCTTACTTTTGTAAAAGAAAACAATTTACAACAACAAAGTCACAAGAATCTGTACAAAACGTTAAATTTTACTTGATTGCTAAATGCGGTCCCATTTCAGTTCCAAGCAAAACTAAACTAAAAGAGCTGTTTTAAATTAGTTAACCTTTCATCTACACGTGGCAGTGCTTGTATGCTCAAAAGCAGATGCAAATGAAAGGAGGTTTTTCTTTAAAAAAATGTAAAACGTACAAAAAATTTGCCAGTAGTTTGCAACTTGAAATCAAAGTTGAGAGTGACATGAGCTCACACCAATTCTGTGGTCATTCTGTCATTGTAAAGCAATAACTAAAAAAAAAATGAACATGAAAGTATTCTTAGCGGGCATTGCTTTCTACCATTTGTGCAGAAATGCAAGTGATAGCAGGTTGCAAATTGGTATCTGTCTGCACAATATCTCATGGATACAATAAAAATCATTAACAATCTCAAATTTCTTGTGTACTGTTCTGAAAGGACCTAGCTGTCTATTACACACCACTAACAGAGTGTTAGTAAATACCATTTTAAATGATTAGTAACTACAAAATAGCTTTATTGTTCCCCTGCCTTCAAGAATCCTTCTTGTGGGCTTGGTATATAATCACATCATTAAATCTAGTCAAATGGATTTCTTACCATTTTGTTACCTCAGATTTAAAGATGCTTCACATGGTTGTCTGGAGGACATTAATTGGAATAATAGAATCAGAGAATGTTACAGCACAGAAACAGCCCATTGATCTGCACTGGTGCTTTTCTCAACATTGATCCGATTCTCTTGCTTGCTCCCATTCTTTTTACTTTTCCACATTCTTTTTATGTCCGAGTGCTGTTGGATGTTAAAGAGCAAATAGTGGGAGCGCTGACTGAAACTATTTCAGAAGACTTTTAAGACGGGAAGAATTCCAAGGGATTGCAGCAGGGCGAATGTTGCACCGTTATTGTTGTCTTTAAATAAAAATGAGAATGAGATAAACCTGGAAACCCCAGGGCAGTTAGTTCTGGTGGAAAAAGTGTTGGACAGTTATATGACAGTTATATGAGGATTTATGAGGATTTATATGAGGATTTATTCATGTTTCGCGAATCTAGTTGAATGTTTTGCAAAACTAATTCTATAAATGAGGACATTTATACATTTAGAACTCCTTTGATATCATGAGATTAATATGAAGATATAAGGTAGAGTTCTCGAATGGAGAGGATGACTGAGGAGGGATGGAGAGTGGGAATCGATATAATTAGGCTGTCTCAGTGTAACTTGTGATATGCCAAGGGCTCTGTATTGAGACTGCTGCTTTTTATAATATACCTATAGCATTGCAGATGCAGTTTAATAATAATAATAATCCTTGCATTTAATATAGCGCCTTATCACGTCTTCAAAGCGTTTCTCAGAATATACTGTAAAGTGTAGCGACTGTATATTTTGTGGGTGAAATTTAAATTGTTAACTACGTGTTGGGAGGACAATAGGAAGTGCAATTGTAGCCCAAAGCTGTAAAGTATTTAATTTGAAAGTAGGGAGGTCATTTTGGAATTGTGTAAGACATTGGTTAAGCTGCAATTGTTGTATTGTATTCAGTTTTGGTTTCTACGACAAGAAGGATGTCATTGAGATGGAGTGTACATGCAGGTTCTCTAGGATAAAAGTGTATGAGATAATATACAACGCATATGAAGAGAGGCTTACTCATTTGGGACTTCTCCCATTGGGACAAAAGAGTTTAAAGGGTCAGAAATGTTGGTAAGATTCTGAAGAAACATGACGAGTTAAAAAGGAATACTATACTCTATTTAACTGGGAATAGGTATAAAATATTTCCTTTAGTTTGGGAGTCATTGAGACTGGGGCGTAGTTTAAGGATTGTTAGAAGAATAAGGGGTCATTTGTAGAATTCATTGCCACATATGGATACCGAGGATGGAAAGATAGAATTATTCAAGAGACCTGGATAAAATATCGTGATCTGTCTTGACTTACATTATGGATTTGATTTTCTGAACATGTAAATAGCTGATGTGTCTCATTTTGGTTGGTATCTATCCACGTACGTTGCCTCCATTCTTCTCTACATCCTTTCTGTATTACAGTTTGTGATTTCATACACCACCTGTTTGTTTCTCTCGCTACTTGCTTACTGTCTGCCTGTTTCTCTTCCCTCAACAAGCTCTTGGCTCTAATGTCCATGGTCTTGCTATTTTCTCTCTGTTCCTGTTTCTCACGTCGTTTTTGCCCCTATTTCCTCCTTGAACGCTTTCTTCAAATTCATAACACCCCCTTGTTCCAACTTATGTTTGCCATCCCCTTAGTTTGTTTTATCTCCTGCGTGCATATTCTTGTTTCTTTTTCCCTTTGTGATGTTTTTGTTTCTCTTTCATTTTGCCTTGTCTCAAGTTAACAGTGACTATTGGGGGAAAAAACATAACAACTAATCTGAATCAGCAATGACCACAAACAGAAGTGGATGAATGATTCATGTCTTTGATGACTTTTTGGATGAGGAAGGAATATTCAGATTGGACCTGAAGACCTTTCTCTTCCACCTTGCCTATGGTTGCCTCCTCTCCCTGGCTCAGTGTCAAGCTCCGCCACTGCTAAGTGCTCTGCGATGCTACCCTGTATGAAGGCTAGTTGTTGTATATTGGCTAGGTCAATGCTTTGCTCTTCAAAATAATGCAAGAGATCTGTAATATTCACCTAAATCACTAGAAATGGCAGATGGATTGTATATTTAATGTTTCATCTATTAGCAATGTAACATTCCCTCTATACTGCACAGTAACCCCAAATTATAAGCTTCAGCCCTGCTTTACAACTCAAACCCACAGTGTTCTCAGTTGGTAGTTAGCAATGGGGTAATCTGACAGTATAGACGTATACCAAGCCAGACTTAAATCGAATGGGATCTGTGTATTTTGGATCTGGCAGGATCACTTTAAGGTTGTTTTGAAACCGTCTTCCATTTAAGCAGTAACGCATGGCTGCTTGCGTTAAAGATGGAAGATAATTGCAAGGGACCATGACAATGTCAGTTAAATGTGTTTCAGTAACAAGGATATTAATAATTTACTCTATTTGTCAGTTCTGTTCTTAAATAGTGTTGTTTTAACAGTCTGCCTGCTTTAGTGAAATAATATTGGAGATGGCAAATAGAGATTTGTAGTCTAAACTTCTTATTTGGTAAAAATTTCCTCAAGATACTTATGGCGCTAATACATCCCTGATAGTTAGTAATCATCTGTTGTAAACATTCTTCTTTAGCCTCTATTGAGGTTTCGTTTTCTCTGGGAAAAGAGAGGGCACAACCATCTGAATGTAAAAGCGCTGCTGGCTGCACTTTAGAGTGTGGCTTAAATCTGAGTGCCTCTATTTTTGTCTTTCTGTATCTATTATATAAAAGTGGCATAAGATGAACTGACTTAGAACAGCATTTGTTGGCTTCCACAAGTTTGCAATAACGACTGGAGTGCTTTTCTTTCCCTCTTCTATACAGCTAGGCACCTTTTTGAGGTGTTCTCATGCGATGGCTTCAAGCCACAGCTCTCAACCAGTGCCTCATTCTGGCAGCAGTGATGGAATCTTCAAAAAAGAAATGGACGCTTCCAAAAAACCCCTCAGAACTGTTAGATCATTACCAGATGTTTGCCCCAAGGAACCAACAGGTAACCAACTTCAGTTTCAAACTCCCTTATTTATGTGCTATTTATATAATTTTAGTTATAATTCCAAGTACTGTGCTCACTGTTGCAGGAGGTACTAGAGGTTTGCGTGATGCCCATCAGTGGTGGCAGATCAGCACAAGTGGACGGTTTATCATTCCAAAGTGAACCTTCCTGCAGCACTAAATGATCCCAGACTTTCCAAAAGAGAATCCGATTTCTTCACTAAAACATGGGGATTGGATTTTATGGAGACCGAAGTTATGCCTTCCTTCTACCTCCCGCAAATCACCAAGGAGCACTTTGCACCCTACCTACAAGAAACTGCTTCTGTGAGTACTGATGGTTTTATTTTGTGCTCCACTTCTAGACATACACAAGAGAGCTTTTTCGTTTACAATGCGACCCCGTTATATTGCATTATCCTTCAATATACTACAGGCTGAAATGTAGAACACTGTGGCTCTGCAGCATATGGAAGTGCAGGGCACTTCTGATACTGGCTTTCTGAGTGGTGACCGCTCTATAACACAACCCTTGTAATACGGGGTCTCTTTTATGGACCCCTAATTATAATAATAATCCTTGATATAGCGCTTTTCATGACTTATAGACGCTCAAAGAGCTTCACAGAATATACTGTAAAATGAATTGACTGTATATTTGGGGGCGGCAGCCAATTGCGCACAGCAGTGTCCCACAAACAGTTGTGGATTGGGTGACCAAATTATTATTGTTTGTTTGAGGGATTATTAACCCGGAAAGCGATCCGCCCAATATTCGACTAACAACCGCTTTCCTATTTACTGCTAGATAAACAGGCGTGTGAAGTAAGGAAACTTGCTCAACATTTCGCTCTGCCTGGAATTGAATCCAGGTCTCTCTTGCTTGCGAGGCGATTGATCTAACCAACAATTTTCCCTATTACAATGGGGATCTGTACTACTATATTTTAAAATCAATGATTGCCTTAAACAATGTTTCTGTATTGTGGTGAGAGCAGTGATAAAGTGCAGTGATTGTTAAAATATAAAAGTTGTATAAAACAGGCCTGACAAATTAAAGTCCAACTGGATGTTTGACCTTGCCAAAATACTTTATACAGTATTACTCTGAATGTATTAATAATTAGTGGAGTAAGAGTGTGATTGGTTTGGTTCATATGGACAGAAACAGCAGTACAGACTTGATGGCCAAATGGCCCATTTATGTACCACAACATTCTATAATTCTCCTAATAATTTACAGATTTTCAGTATGCTTTTATTCTTTGAGCAGCTTTAATTTCATTTGATATTATTATTTGTTCTCAGCGGCAAAGAATTCATGAAAAATGCAAGGAAACATGCCCAACTAAGGATGGGCTTGACAGATCGCTTTCAACCACTGTGCACAGCAACGGTAAGGAAATCTGAATTCAGATATCTGTATTGAGTTTTTAATAAAATTAATATATTGTTTCACACCCATGGGATGGAGTTCCAGAATGTGGGGGCAGAGAGGCTGAAAGTCCGGCCACCGATGGTAGGGCAGGTCGGGCGAGAGACATGGAGCAGGCCGGAGCCCAATGGGTTGGTAAGGAGTCAGCAGGTCAGAGAGGTAGGAGGGGGCAAGGCCATGGATGGCCTTCAAGATGAGGATGAGGATCTTGAATTCAATCCTCTGGGGGATGGGGAGCCAGGAGAGTCGGGCGAGGGTGGGAGTGATGGGGTCACGGAGCCTGGTGCGTGAGAGTACACGAGCTGCAGAGTTTTGGATGATCAGCTGCTTCTGAAGGGAAGATTTGGGAAGGCCGATGAGGAGGGATTTCCCGTAATCGAGCCTTGATGTGATAAATGCGTGAGTAAGGGTTTCGACAGCCTGAGGGCGGAGTTTGGCAATGTTGCGGAGGTGGTGGTAGGCAGTGCCGGTCATGGCGCGGATGTGGAGGAGAAAGGACAGTTCAGGGTCAAACCAGATACCCAGGTTCCTGACTGGCTTAGTGAGGTTGAGTGTGCAGCCATGGAGGCTGATGCTGTCAGCGCCCGAGATGCGGAGGCGCTGGCGCGAGCCAATCAGGAGGCCCTTGGTCTTGCTGACGTTGAGTTGGAGAAAGTTGTCCCTCGTCCAGGACTTGATATCAGACAGGCAGTCGGTCAGGACGCCAGTAGTCCTGGAGTTGAGGGTGGAGACAGAGAGATAGAGTTGGGTGTCATCCGCATACATGTGGAAATTTACCCCATGTCTGCGAATGATGTCACCAAGGGGGAGAATGTAGAGGTGAAGAGGAGGAGACCGGGGACAGAGCCCTGAGGAACACCGCACGAGACAGTGCGGGGGCTGGAGGAAAAGCCGTTTGCCGCGACAAAGTGGAGGCGGTGTGAAAGGTAGGACCTGAACCAGTCAAGGACAGAACCTTGAAGGTTGAGGTGGGAGGAGAGGTGGTGGAAGAGGATTGAGTGATCCACGGTGTCAAAGGCGGCGAGGAGGACGAAGAAACAGAGGTAGCCCTGGTCACACATGGTCAGGATGTTGTTTGTGACCTTGATCAGAGCAGTTTAGCACGGAAACCCAATTGGAGGGGTTCATTGAGGGAGTGGGAGTAGAGGTAAGAACGAAGCTGGGAGGCAACGGCTCTCTCAAGGACCTTGGATAGGAAGGGGAGGTTTGAGATGGGCCGGTAGCTGGATAGCTGTGATGGGTCAAGGGAAGATTTCTTCAAGGTGGGGGTGACAGTGGCTGTTTTGTGGGGGGAAGGAACAGTGCCAGATGACAAGGAGTGGTTAATGATGTCGGCGAGTAGTGGGGCAAGGAGGTGGAGCTGGGATTTAAGGAGAGAGGTGGGGATGGGGTCCAGGGAGCAGGTGGTGGGCTTCATGGAAGTTACCATGTTGAAGACAGAGAAGGGGGTGACTGGTTCAAAGGTGTGGAAGGAGGGATGGGTAATTGTGTGGGGTGGGGGTTGGGAGGGGGTGGAAGTTGGGAGGGCAGTGGCACCTGAGCGGATTCCCTCGATTTTGGACTTGAGGATGTCCAGGATTTTCTCGCAGTGAGACTCTACTGTAGTTATTGATTTTAAAATAAATGCTGGGAGGTTTTTTTCTTGTAATACTAGGAATGAAAAAACATGCACTGTATCCTGATTACAGACAGTGAGATGGCATAATGTTGCTATATGTTAGCTGCTTTCAGAGCTGTAAGCCTGTAAACTACGTAGAAAGCTTCCGAAGACACATTTTGCAAATTCACCCAGAGAAGAATTCTTGTGGGTATTTCAGGCAAAAATTGGGGTATTAACCTGTTGAATTTTCACCCTGGGCACAAACGTTTAAATGCCATTTCTTAAATGCCATTCATAATTAAAGGCCAAACACCTTACAGATGAATATTGTAATTCAATCCTTTTTTTAATATACAAGTGACCTTATTATCAGCTTGGCTCAGTGGTAGCACACTTGCCTCTGAGTCAGAAGGTTGTGGGTTCACGCCCCATGTTGGGACTTGGAATCACATAGTCAAAGCTGATACTCCAATGCAGTGCTGAGGGTGTGCTGCATTGTTGGCGGTGCCGTCCTTCAGTTGAGATGTTAAACTGAGGACGGCACCTCCAACAATTTCAGTTTGCCTGTTCAGGTGTTCGTTAAAGATTTCATGGCACCATTTGAAAAGAAAAAGGAGTTTCTCCCGGTGCCCTGACCAACAACTCCCCCAAATAAAATTGGTCACTCACTCCATGGCTATTTGTGGGACAATGCTGTGCGCAACTGAACTCTTGCCCACAAAAACCACAGTCATCACACTTTACTGTATATCTTGTAAAGCACTTTGAGATGTCTCAACAATGCGCCATTTCAAATGCAAAGGTGATGATGATTATTATCATGAAGAAATGTTGATCTGATTTTAATGAGTTGCGTTAACATCGTTGCAGACAAATCGAGGACTGATTTGGAACAAGTACCTAAGGTAAAAAAAACTCTTAGCATTTAAAACTAATTATCCTTTTTGTGTGAAGAAAGTAGCATAATCTTAATGTACCAACGTACATTCCATTCTTATAACAATAGAAAGGATAAAGCCATAAGATACATTTTATTGAAAATAATGTTTGTGTAATTGGTATGATTTCAAGGTAAATATAATTTTTAGTTGGGTGTTTCTCTATGTCTTTAAGCTTGCTACAATAGTTGGTGTAAATCTAAACACATAGACCTCGCCACACGTAGCATTTTTGTGAGAACAAAGTAGGCTTTTTCTTCATTTTAATTGTTAGGATAAGGAGCAAGTTTTAAGGTTATATTTCTTGTGTATAACACCCTCAGAAACTATCATTGATTTAATTGTAGTTGTATAGCTTCCTCATAGCTGCTTTTTTTTTAGAAAAAGCACTTTGGGCTAAAAGGTATTGATAATTGTATCATTTACTTCCCTTACAGATATTTATGAAACCAGACTTTGCTCTGGAGGATTCTCTTACATTTTCTTCTGTCTTGCCCTGGTCACATTTCAGTTGTCACCATGGAGCTGGTGTAAAAGGAGCCCGTGATGGGGCTTCCTCTAGATTACTACAAGAAAAGGTATACAAGTGAACCCTAAGCAAGTGCATTTTATTTTACCAGTGGGGCAGACTGCTACAGTGGATTTCATCTGACTAGTTTGCCTCATCTGTTTAAAAATAATATGCTGGCTGGGTAAAAATCCAGGAATATACATTCATTTGCAGAGTGTGATATTTAGTTTTAAATGTTCATCACCTTGTGTTTGTGTTTATTTTATCAGACAGTGCTTGTTGATGATTTGAAGAAAGAACAGCGTGTTAAACTCCTGTCCCACCCCAATTCCCCTTCCTTTTTTTAAAAAAGTGATAATCTTCCCTTTTTCTGAGTTCCTCAATAGAGCCAATGTGACACCATGGGCAGATGACTTGTCTATCTCTTGTCTTTTTCCCTATAAAACAGTCTTAATTTAACTGATTGGTGCCTCACTCAAATCGTCATTCTTTAGTCATGATTGTAGACCATGAATGCCATCAGGCTCTTCAACTAGCGAAGCAATTTGCCCCTGAAAATGAAAATGAAAAGTTTCTCCTGGTGTCCTGGCCAACAAACCCCTTTCCTCAGTCTTAATATGCATTTTCTGTTCTATTTATTGTCCAGCCCTGTATTATTTGACACCCAACCAGCTGAGGCTAATTTGTTCTAACTCAGCACTGATCAGAATTGAACTTGCAACCATTTGGTCTCCATGGCTTCACTACACCATTGAGGGAACTGTGTAATCAGTTATTTTTGCAGTGGCTGTTGTCCTTTCCTCAGTCAATATGCAAATGCAATATGAATTTTCTGTTGTATTTATTGCTGTTTAATAACAATAGGCTACGCAACCTGGATCTTTCATACTGTCATCACCAAATTATTGCTTGTCCGTTACTTAAACCCTCTACATTGAGAAGTTAAATTTTAATATCTGGAAATTTCAGTTTGTAGTGGTCCATTATTCTTTTTCACCCATTTGATGATGAAGGGCAGATAGTCTTTCTGATCATTAAAAATGCAGTTCTTTTAGTACTTGCTCTTGATTTATTAACATTATCAATCAGGAATTGGGAAACACTTATAAAAGGGGACATCTTTGCATTAGAATTAGAAAGAGAAGCCCAGATGTAAGACAAATGTGGAACAGCTGCCCCTTCGTGGGCCCTGTATGTGCTTTCCATACATGAAATAAGCATAACAGGTTATAACCCACTGGGGAATGTAGCATTAGAAGCAGCCTATAATTTCCTTTCTTGCAACATATGTTCTCATGTACTAAAGTGCTATTTATTTTTTTCCTTTAGAATTTTTTCATGTCTATTTATTAGTTACAGCCTTCCTCCTCAGGAGTGCTGCTTTTTCTCTGCCTACTATAATTACCCATATAGGTCGTGGTGCTGGAGGGCAGAATGATATAAATTTGTTTTAGTTTAGATCCAGGTTTGGATTTGAAGGGACATGGGCTTGACTTTCAGGTCTCAATAATAATAATAAATAAAAATAATGTTTGCATTTGATCTAGTGTTTTATGTTGTCAAGATGACTCAAAGTGCCTCACAAGATTTTACTGTGAAGTGTAGTGACCGTGTATTTGTACAGGGATGCAGCAGCCAATTTGCACACAGCAATGTCCCACAAAGAGCTACGAAGTGAGTGAACAATTCTATCTGGGGGGTTGTTGGCCAGGACACCAGGAGAAACTCCATTTTAAATAGTGTTGTGGGATCTTTATAGTCCATGTCAACAGGCAGATGGGACCTTGGTTTAACGTCGTCATCTAAAAGACAGCATGTCTGACAATGCATCCTGTAGCACTGCACTAAAGTGTCATTTTAGACCCTGAGCTCAAAATCCCAGTCTTGGGGCTTGAACCCAGAATCTTCTGACTCGGAGACAAGAGCTCTACCCTGGGCTATTGTTACTTTGGGCTGTTTGTGAGTTTCGTAGTACTCTGAAATCAACTATGGGAAGAACAGTTAGTGACGGTAAAATATAATTAACAATTTGAACTAGGTTGTAATTTAGAGTTTCATTGAAGAATCTTTATTTCCTATAGGAAGGCTGACAACTTTTTATGATCTTTCACAAGTGTATTTATTTCACTGGAATACCAAACATTTCCTCAAATCAGTTGTGTACCAGAAGATTTTCTACATGTAATAAAAAGCCACAGACTTAATCCAATTATTTCAGTTCCCAAGGGTCTAGCAGAATTGGGCAATAAAGAATTGAAATTTGAGTAACGTACTCAGACATCTTACGTTATAGTAAGAAAGGTGAATTGATACTTGTATATGATTTATTTTACAGTTGAGCCATTACTTGGATGTTGTGGAGGTTAATATAGCGCACCAGATTTCTCTCCGTTCTGATGCCTTTTTCCATGCTATGACCTCTCAGCATGAGCTGCAAGACTACCTCACAAAAACGTCACAAGCTGTAAAAATACTCCGGGATAAAATTGCTCAGATTGACAAAGTCACATGTGAAGGATCTCTGCAAATATTGAGGCTTGCTATCACTAGAAATAACTGTGTTAAAATGTACAACAAGCTCAAATTAATGGCCACCGTTCACCAGACGCAGCCGACAGTGCAGCTGTTGCTCTCCACTTCAGAGTTTGTTGGGGCACTGGATTTAATTGCAACAACACAGGAGGTACTCCAACAGGAACTTCAAGGGATTCATAGCTTCAGGTATGTGAGGTTGCACAGCTCCCTTTCAAAATGTAAGCATTCAACATGCTGANTTTTTTTTCTATATCTTCATAAACCTATTGCTCAATTGCATTATGGAACAAAACAATAGACTATTTTCTTTTGAGACAGTGCTACTGTGTGTGTATGTAAAACAAAACTCTGTTATAACACGCTTCATTACATAACAATGTTGAGGTATGGACCAACTTTCTGGTCTAAAGAAAAATCGGGTCATTGTTTTTTAAATTTTTTTTGGAGATCAATAAGTTAAATATTTGGTTATATTTTAATTCTGTCTGAATTACAAGCTATAATCATCTGAATGAAAAGTCGCTTCTTAAACTGGGTCACAATGTGTAATTGCAGAGCCTGGTTATATTTGTTTTCAACCACCTTCATTAATTATCCATGGCTGGTTAAGAGATCCAGTTACCATCAATGCAAACAGTGGTGAATGTTTTTTTTCCAGTGAAAACATTCTGTAGTTCTGTCCTTGCTACTTTTTTTTAAAAAAAAGTTCCATAAATTGTTTAAGCCATTCTCTTTATTTCAGACACGACTGGAGTTCAGATTAAAACTGAAATTATATTTAGCTCCTTCCTAGATCTGTACTGAGCGGTGGTGAATTAATCCAAACTAGTTAGAAATTATCTCCCTTTGTGAAGCAACAAGTCGAGCATACTAATAACTTAATGATTTGGTTGTGTTCTGTGAATCATTTGCTTGTATTGTTTAAAGCATTGCACTTGCAAGGTTATAATCAGAATGTGTTACTGCTGTGAATAAGAATAGCTGCTGACGCACACACTTGGATTCCAGTGACTTGGTCACAGTGGTTTAAAGGTCATACAATTCGTAATCTGGACGAGAGTCTGGGTCAATGTGTGACGGCACTTCCTGATTTGAACGCGTAAAAACCTGTAAGAAGCGGTAACCTACAAGTGGGTTTTATATTAACTGAGAAATATTGGTCAAGGGACAATGTGCAGAGTGGAAGAAACATTACTAAGGTTGAAAGGTGTACAACTGGAAAAATGAGTTAAAGCTAGAAAAAGTGGTTAGATGCCAAACTTGGGTTTTAAAAGCCTGTAAATTGTAGGAGAAAGGGAAGGTTGGTGGATTAATCTTAAGTGAGGAGGAAATTAGTCTAAAGGAGTTAAAGTCAACAATCAGAGGTGAGAAGATGGTGAGATTAAGTTTCAAAGTCTTTGAATGCAGGATGCAAGAATAGTATCTAAGGTTGTATATTGGCCCTTGGGAAGAACAAGAGTTCAGAGGAGAAGTAACAATAGGAACAATATTTGGCATTGGATGAAAAAGGCCCTTTGGAGCATCAAGCCCATACACTCCACAGATCACACAAGAATAATGTGGACTCGTGCCAGCTCTGTTCTTGGAAGGAAGGGATTGTTCTTCACAAATAACCCTGATTTCTCCAATATAAAATGAGCAAGAACTTCAGTTTTGATTCATTGCCAAATCTCTGTCATTCAACACTGGCCTTCTCTCCACAGATACATGAGTAAGTAAAACAGCCTAGAATTTGGCAGTAGTGGGTATTTTTGCTTAGCTAAATAATAAGGAAGAGCGCTGTGGAAAGTGAACACACTTTAGAGTATTCATCTGTTGAGCCAATGCATCTGGTTTAGGTATTGTGTACACACTCATCCCATGCTTTCCTGGGACTGGGCAGCACCAGATTAATTCTGTGCCAGATACAAAACGAATGTCATCAGAAAATATCACTCTGGGGTGGATCTGGTTCCTCCTCATAATGTATGATATTTCACTGCTTCTCTTCAGCTTGCTTCCTTTGCTCACAAAACTGGCATAGTACATGCGTATACTGTAATATATACAGTATTATATGTGTAGCACATGTTCAAAACCTTCAAGAAATAACGTTAGCGATACTTCCTGCACATAATGCATGGGAAGTCAGGTCAGCGGTGGCCTGGTGACACTTTTTTAGTGCGGGTCACTGGTAAGTCTGTACTGGAAGCCAGATGTACTATGCTTCTGATGTATTTGTGATCTATAAACAGTCAATTGTGGATGAGGTGTTGTCTGAGGTCCTGAGGATTCAGTGGATAATCTTCCTCGGGCGCATTTGCAAAGTCCAGGATCAAGCTATGAGGCGGATTTGTGGTGAACAGGGGAAGTGGCTGCAGGGATGGAGTCCTTCAATACTTCAGCTCACAGTGCATCTAATCTTTATCTTTCAGGCACCTTGGTTCACAGCTCTGTGAGTTGGAGAGGCTAATAGATAAAATGATGATAGCAGATTTTTCTACCTATGCCCGTAGTGATTTAAACAGACCTTTGGAAGACAACCAAGTGTTAGAAGAGGTATGTGAAAGTACTTTTTTTTTAACTTTTTTGCCAAAATTTTCTTCCAGTTTTCTTTCCCTCATCTCCCGAAGGCATTTGTTTCCTTTGTCCTTCTACTGAGATATACTTATGTATACGTGTGTGGGGGGGCAGGGTCTTTTATTTTTAATTTTTGCTCCTTCGTTGTGGATATTGGCAGGACAGGTCACAATTGATCCTGATCATCTCCTCCATCAGAATCTTCCTGTAGGGTCGTTGGTTACCCTGCTGGTCTCCCCCTACCCCCACCCCACCCCTCACTACCCATCTCTAAACCATGATGTTATAATATAATAACATCTTTTAATATAACATAATAACCGATTATCACCAGTTTGTAACAAACTGATGATAATTGGTCTGGTGATAGTACAGCTCTTTTTTATAAATAATAAATATAATAATAATTCTTGCATTTGATATAGCGCTTTTCACGTCTTCTAGACGTCTCAAACCGCTTCACAGAATATACTGTAAAGTGAATTGACTGTATATTTGTGGGCGAAATGCGGCAGCAATTTCATACAGCAGTATTCCACAAACAATCGTGGATTGAGTGACAAAATTATTGTTTTTTTTCTTGAGGAATTAATATCCCCGGAAAAGCGATCCGCCAATTGACTAACAACCGGGTTCCTACTTACTGCTAGGAAAACAGAGGCATGTGGAGTAAGGAAACTTGCCCAACATTTCTCTCTGCTGGAAATAGAACCCAGGTCTCTCTAACTACTGAGCTACAGGACTCCACAGGACTTAAGGACTCCTTAATTTTAAGGCATGTGAAGTTTTGCCTTCTTTACAAGATGTCCTGACCCGAAGCCAGCCAACCACCTGATTTATTTTGGTAGGAAGCCAGCATGCATCATATGACCTCCTATTGGACATGTGGGGTGGCAAGTGAACTATTTAAGCGTTTGTATCATTATTATGTAATTATTAGAACTGATTTAGCATCTTTTTCAGAGGCTAGTATCGTGTCTTGACTGTAATAATAACTGCTGTGAGAATTTTAGAAGGTAACAACTGGGACTTGGTAATTTACTGTCAGGTAGGCCAACAACTAATATTGGATCAGTATGGCCTTATTGTTCTGTAAAACAGTAAATCTTATTTATGCTACACTCTGACTGATTTTTGAGTTTACCACCAAGAAGTCTGAACATCAATTCTGTGTATTCTTATGAGATGATGGGACAATTGATGACTTTATTGTACAGCTCGGTTGATGCACACATAATGTAATGGTTAGAAAATAACAGACCACGCTCTTTTGTTATAACCATAAGCAATTGATTCTATACTAGAAATTTTGAAGAAAAAAGACAGTCTAGAGGTTGTGGATGTGGAAGTGTTGAGTAATTTTGGAAATCCAAATTGTAGATTTTAAAAATATAACCCAGCAACATCAATTTTCACTCCACACTTCTAGTGCAGGGAAAAATTCATACTTGTATGGTAAAATTTCTCTTAAGATTGGATGTGAGGAACAATTCAGGGAAGAAGTTTGGGGGCGGTGGCGGGGAGGTAGCCGTAAGCACGGTCAAAGAGGAAGCTTTTCAGATGGGACTTGAAACAGGGGAGCGTGGGGGCAAGGCGGAGACATTGAGGGAGAGTGCACTGTGCTCTGCATATGATCTATGATATACCTGACCTGGGAGTGTTTGGTGGTAATCTGGAGAAAGAAGAAATTAGAACATTTTCCATTCCCAGCAAGCACCTGCAGTTATAATGGAATTTGGTTTTCACTGAACCGTGATGACATTAAAAGAACTGCAACATCCTGTTTCACAATTGCAGCATCCTGTATTATTTGTCAACAGAATGAAACAAAATGATCTTTTCATAGCCGAAATCTGAGATTTATCTCCCATAGCTGTTATCTTTTAAGAAATAGTCCATTATATTTGAGAGTTTAAATATCTTATTGTGTGTATAATACAACATAATATAGTTGTTTCCTCTTCCTCTTTCCTCTCCACCGTCTTGGTTTTCTCTGCTCCTCTATTGAAATCATTGGAGCTGAGCCCAATTATGCACTCAGCAAGATCAGCGCAGATGCTTTGCAGCAAAGGAGTTGTTGAAAATCGACTAAGATGGAAACTTCAGCTGATTTTGTTTTGCTCCTGCCCAATGTCTGAAGGCATTGAAGCAAATTGTACCACTCTTTCCCATCTCTGGTTTGACTGAAATCAACTATTCAGCATAGAGCAGGGAATGAATCCGGGACCCTCATAGTCTTTATGGTGCATTTACCCACTGAGGCACTGATGGATCTTATTTAATGCTTTCACTCGAATTGAGTTGTAAGACAGTTTTGTCTCCAGATCATATATCTTTGTTTTTCCAAAGTAGAGAGGAATCTCTGTCAGGGCAAACTGGAGATGGAGTTTAATCTTTGTGATTTTAAGGGATTTAGAATCAGAGTTTCCCAGGGATCAGTGAATTTACTCTAAACTGCTGTACCACACAGCCTGGGGAGGTTCCCAGGATATAGTACAGCTGCAATTTGCCTCCTCCCTTATGGAGAAAAAGCCAGCTGATATTCAATGCCAAGGTTTACTTATACATAATCTCCATTTGAGTGAGGTACAAAAGGTTGTCAGGAGCTTGTACACTTAGTAGAAAAAGAGAAATAATGTTTTTGCACAATGTGAACTACTATAGTATAAAATATGGCAACAAGACTGACCTCAGTGTACAGTGTGGTGAAAATAATCACTAGAGATAATAAATTGGTCCCTGATCGGTACTTATTCCCAAGTATCTGCTTCTGTGTTATTTTAAAGTTACAATTGACTGATTCTAATCTGAAACACAATCTGAAGTCTTATACATTTTCAGGTATTTTCATAACTGTTATATGTTGCTTTTTAATATGTATTTTGTGTTTTAAAGGAAAGGTTAATATCTCTAGTGTTTGGGCTGCTAAAACAAAAAAAGCTAGACTTTCTGGAGACCTACAGTGAAGAAATGATTGTTGCTGCAAAAAATATAATTAAACAGGTAACGTTTATTTCCAGGTAAATCTTGGCTTCGCTATTGATATTTGCTTTGTCTGAGGTGCCATTATTTGGGTGAGCCTTTAAATCAAAGTACCATCTGCCTGTTCAAGTGGATTTTAAAGATCCCATGACACCGTTTGGAATGAGGAAGGAGTTTCTCTTTGTGTCCTGGCCAACAGTCCTGAAGATAAATTAGCCATTCTGTTGGCTGTTTGTAGGACATGCCCATGTGAAAATTGGCTGGAGCCTTTTCTTACAACTACAATCACTACACTTTGCAGCAATTATCTGTGAATCACTTTGAAACATTTTATCTTAATAGATCAAATGCAAGGATTAAAATTTTAAAATATTCAATTAAATTGTCAAATTGGTTTCTGACTACTGGGCAGATCCCTTGCAGCATCTAGTGGCGATTGTTTAGTATTACATTCTTGTTTCTCCACACATCTACAAGGTGTTGGGAGACAATTAAGGATCATATTAAAATGGCAATAATATCAGACTGGCTTAACTTATGAGTGTTGATGAAGTCGTTTTCAAAATCAGAATCAATTTTTACTTTGGTTATGGAGGTGTTGTAGAAAGACACTGTATTTGTAGTGATAGCTTTAGGTAAATGCAGACAGAGTGTTTAAAGATTGTAATGACTTGAACTAAATTAACGTAGATTCTGTAAAACCCATTTGGAAATCCTAATGTACCAAGTGGGAAACGTCCACAGTTGCTAAAGTTACACTAACTTTATGAAAGTAACTTATCTTTGGTGAGGATAAAAAAAAACAGAAGAGAAATGTGCCAGTTTAGTCATGATGACAGTATCTGAAAAAAAATAGGAAAGTATTTTGTTTCATTTTTGTTGTGTTATTGGGACATATTCTGAAAAATTCTCCATTTAGAAATTCCTTGTTTGTGCCATGTAGTACATGGAATTTTATAGCACAGAAATGGGCCATTTGCCCCATTGAGTCTGGCGGTGCTAGTCTCCACTTGTGCCAACTGCACTAATCCCACACTCCTATCTCCTCTTTACACACATCAGTGTTCTTCCTTTTCCATCAGTGATCTAATTCTCTTTTAAAATAATTGATGGACTCTGCTTCAACCTCTTATTATAGGCTATGCCTGAAGAGTGTTCTTTATGTATTGATGCTTTAGTTCTGAATGGATGCAGATGTTCCCAAGCTTTTCCTTGACTGATCAATTTGTTGATACAGTACTTTACTTGAGCATAGTTAGGAAACAAATGTAGAATGAAGCTTCAGTATATGAATTCTTGATGTTAACCACGTGATCTGAAATCCACATCCAGCTGCTTGTGATAGTCACAGAACATACATTCCGTTTAATAATAATCTTTGCCTTATAATGCTGTCAAGGTGTCTCAAAGCGTTTCACAAGATTTTGCTGTAAGGTGTAGTGACTGTTTTTGTGGGAGAACATGGTAGCTAGTTTGCATATAGCAATGTTCCACAATGTTCATAAAGTGAATGATCAATTTTATCTGGGAGGTTGTTGGCCAGGACACCGTCTCTTTTCAAAAGTGGTATAGGATGATTAACGTCCAACTGAACAGGCAGGCGCCACCTCAGCTTTTAATATCTTGTTAAAAGGATGGCAACAATGCAGAACTCTCGCAGCACTGCATTCGGAGTCAGCCTAGACTGACACTCCAGTGCAGTGCTGGGGGAGTGCTGAATTACTGCATTTACCAGTTACAACTAACAATGTTTTAATTCTGCTCACAATGGTAATTTATTAGAAGAAAAATAATAATCCTTGCATTTGATATAGTGCCTGCTTTATCACTTTGTCGAAATATCTCAAAGCACTTTATTGTAAAAGTATAGTGACTGTATTTGTGGGCGAACCTATTTGTGGATCACTGTTACTGTATTTCACCTACTAATTACATTTGTGTCCAGGTTCCAAATTTGCTTGTTTTGATTGAACTTCAATTTACTGTCTCAAGTAAACTTTTCTCATGATTATTTTACAGAGTGTAATTGAAACCATTTCACAAATGGAAGAAATTGATACTGAAGCTGTAGTGAAGTAAGTTAGTTGATATGCAATTTAGATGATTCTTTAACTTATTCATGTATGTACAAAACCATCTAATCTGCTGCACCTTAACTTTTTGCTATAATGTTTGAATAACTTTTCATAACTTCTCAATTCTCAATACTTTCTGCATTCAAAATAATTTTGTTGAAAGCAGTACAGTATTTATTCACAAAATGCAATCGTACTACCTTGTGTGCTTTTTCTATGAACAATTTAATACTTTTTATATGACTTTATATGTTCACATTTAAAATTTGTAAAAGAATAACTAATTGGATGAACTCTTTTAAGGCTTGCAGATCAAATGAGAATGCTGAACTTCCCTCAGTGGTTGGAGCTTTTGAAAAACACATTTTCAAATTTTATTAAGTTTCTCAATAGAGTTAAGGTAAGCAAGTCTCTTCCATATTCATGACTGATTCTTTTATTCAACCTCTATGTTTGACACCATATGCTGATTTAATATTTCCTCATTTATTCATTCTTCATATACAGTGCAGCCCCATTTATAAATTATTTCATCATAACGCCAGTTCGCTTATAACATTGTTGCATAATGGACCACATTCATTGCGAATGAGTACAGCTGACCCGCTCACTGTACACATGAGCTGACTGGCTGGCTTTCTGCGCTAAAATGGCTGATTTCCTGTTCGCTAGGTCATTGTCAAAGCGATGTCATCAGTGGCCCAATTGTCTGGAAGTTGGCCATTTTAGCTGAACAATATGTTTGACTTCTGGGTTCATCAGTTTGATGCCAACATCATTTCCCACTTTTCACATAAAATGAGACTTAATGTTATCATGACTCTATGACCCAGAAGACAGTTAATTTTCCTTTTAGTTTTGGAGCCAAATGGCGCACTCACTGTGCTTCATACAATATATTGTAAACTGTTCCGCACATTGACAATTAAACCTGCTACCTCACCTCACTATACTGTGGGCTAGGATTTTAAAGTCAAAATCTGGCTGCAGATGACCCTATGTTCAAAGTTACAGTCACTTGTACTAAATAACAAAGTAATTCAATGGTTTAAAAGTTTGTTCATATTTGTCCTTTTGTTGCACAAAAATTATTTTGTAGGCAACGATAAACATCATTCGTAATGTTGTCTTCCTGGTATTGGACAAAAGTCGGGAAAGAAACAGGGAGCTGGAAACTGCAGCTTGTCAGAAGAATCCCGTTTTGGGTCATAGTTTGGAGACAGAAGTGGCATATTTGACTCATGAAGGCATGTTTATTAGTGATGCATTTAATGAGAGAGAACAACCTGCAGGATTAGACACTGAGCCCCAAAGAATATCTTATCATAACAGTGAACCTTGTGGCAGCGATTCTACGTCTGAAGTCGAGTGCACGACCGATTCATCCTCCAGTAAGGAGCAGACGTCATCCTCAGCCACAGGGGGAGTGGAGATAATGTAAGTTTTGGTCTGATACTGTTAATGATAATAATCCTTTCATTTGATATGGAGCCTTATCCCATTGTTGAGACGTCTCAAAGTGCTTCATACAATATATTGTAAAGTGTAAACAAAATGCAAAATACTGCAGATGCGGGAAATCTGAAAGAAAAACAGAGGTCGCTGGCAACACTCAGCAGGTCAGGCAACATATGTGGAGAAAGGAAAGTGAGTCAACGTTTTGGGTCCACAAACTGGCAAAGTTCTGACAAAGGATCGTGGACCCAAAACTTTAACGCACTTTCCTTTCTCCATAGATGCTGCCTGATCTGCTGAGTGTTCCCAGCGACTTCTGATATTGTAAAATGCATTGACTGTATTTTATGGGTGAAACTCGATTAACAATTGCGCATTGGATTGAGTAACTTTTTTTACGGAGGGATTATTATCTTCAGAAAGTGATCCGCCAATTGACTAATAACTGGTTCCTATTTACTGTTACATAAACAGAGGCGTGTGGAGCACGGAAACTTGCCTAAGATTTCGTCTTGCCCAGGAATCAAACCCGGGTCCTCTCGCTTGCGAGACGAGTGAACTAACCACTATGTTATTGGGACCTGTTCATCAAGCAGTTTTGAAAAACTTGTCAGCTTTATTTTCCCCAAATAATCCTACATTATTAGTATTTCGAGGTTGAAAACCTAACAAAATATGGTGATTTTTTTATCAAGCTATTTCAGGGTCTAGAGTGCCTGAATAGCCACTAGTCATCACCAATTTTTGCTACCCCAGTAATTGGATTTCAACAACAAAAATAACAACTTGTATTTATATAGCGCCATTCACATGGGGTAGTGTCCCGGAGCACTTGGGTTTCAGTAACAAAGTGTTATCTAAGATGAAAAGACTGATTTTCTTTAATGTTAAGTATTATCGAATATTGTTATTTGGGTAGAAATGTTAAGCAAACTGTACACAAAAGGATTTTTTTTTCTCTCTGTGTTTAAAAAAAACACAAGTGTCTGACCCAGTGGTAAAAGTGAGCCAGACCTACACAACCAAGTAGTTAGTACATCAATCACATCGCCGAGACAGCTCCCCTCTGAAATACGTTGGAATGAAGCTTCTGAGAGTTGGTGTGATGTATTACCGTTTTCCTTATTGAGGTTCAGAATGATGGACCTCAGTGTTTGCTTGGTTACTACTTCATATTAATCTTTAAAGAGATTATCTGACGAATAGCATTGTTTCACAATCACAAGGCAGGATTTGTTCCTATTATTCTGTGTATCAGGTGTTCTAATGTGCAAGAAGATTATTGTTAGCCTTGACCTTTGTTGCTGACTCTTGAGCCGTGATACACTGGATCTGTGCCACTGATGGACGTGCAATTCCTGTCTTGACCATTGGATGGCACCACACATTGCTGAAGTTTTTAACAAAACCGTGTATAAGAATTTGGTCAATCAGCTTCAGGATCATTGTAACTGAAATGTGGGCTTTTAATATTTATTTTAGAAGAGATTTATTTCTGTGCAGTGCACCGAGACACTACCCTGTGTAACGGGCTCTATATAAGATGTTTTTGTTGTTGATGAAATTTATCATTGTGCGAGCAAATGCTTCAAATGTTTCTCGTTGTTTCGAAGTTTTGTTTCCAAGGAAATCTATGGAGGTTCCTTCGATAGTGCTGAGAACATTTTTACAGTTGTTTGAATTAGTTGCGACACAAGATCAACAGCAATTTGCATTTAGCACCATAGACATTTTCAACATAGGAGGAGGCCTTTGGCCAATTGTGGCTGTATTGACTGTGAAAGAGCAATCCATTTAGTCCCATTCTTTTTCGCTGTACACTTTTATATTGTCAGAAGATAATTGTCTAATTTTCTTTTAAAATCTAATTTGGATTCTGTCTCAATGCATTCCACATTCTAACAACTCTATTTCATTAAAAACATGTCTAGCCTCTCATGCAAAAATCTTTGCTCTTTGGGTAATTACCTTAAATCTTTTGCCTCTAGCTACTTACTTTTACATAAAAGAACATCTCAGAGCATATTAACAAGTGAAATGAGAGTTTCAAAGATGTTTATTGGAGGTTTTTAAAGCCCAGAGGAGAGGTTGCCAGGGGAAGTGGTTTTGGAAGAGACTTTGAACTCACAGCGACACAGTGGGTGAAGGCTTGGCTACTGCTGGTGGAGGAAAAGGAGTAATCAGTGGAGCGGAGAAATTGGAGAGATTTGAACACTGAAGTTCATAAGCTTGTTCTTACTGTGTACTTGTGCTTACCTTGAGCCACTGAAGCTTGGTGAAGATGGGGGATAAAGAGTGTGCCTTGTGCAAGACAGAACTTTTGATATATCAGTTGAATAGAATTTTACCTAAAGAATATATAATTCAGAAATGATGAAGTATAGCTTATTACACAATAAGTTAGCTGATTTATTCATAATCTGAACAGTTTTTGTGTAAATTGAGAAGTAACTTAAATAAAAACAAATTCTTAAAACAATCTGAGAACAAACTATCCCTACTTGTATGAGTGCTAGTTAAAGGATTTGCTCCATGAATTGGTGCTGTGATTGGAGTACTTCTGTTTTACAACTACAATAAATGTTTATTTTGCAGGACAATCATCTGTAAGTTTCTCAAGAGGTAAAGTCAATTAAGGTTAAGTTCTTTTTAAATCGGCTGCTGTATAAACCAGATACAAATTTTTATGTGATTTTAGCAGTGGTGATTTAATCCATGTCCACTAATTGATAGTTGATTCATATTGCAGTTTTAGGATAAACCTTGTCATGCAAATTAGAGTTGATGCTAAAAGTACTATATAAATAGCCTATTAATCTATAATCTATAATCAATTAAAGCTTAAGATCTTTGGAATAAACATTAGTCTGAATACAATTGTGAATATGGCTCAGAAACTCAGGTGCTTTGAATATTCAAAAAACAATCAAACAAAATGATTCTGAATCCAGAAATGTCCGTCACTTGGCTTTTGTATAAGTTGGTTGACTTTTATCCATTTGGAGTCTGGCTACTAGATGACATACTGTTTGCAAATTAGGATCATGACTCTGGCAGTTTGACAACTAATTTTGGAAATCCCTATCCCTCAAGGTTGGACGATAATGTTTTGTATTGATGACCTTGATAAAATGTGCAGAGGAAAGGAATGAATTACTGTATTCCAAAATATAAGTCTTAGTGCATTTGCTTCTTGTGTGGAAACAGTTAACTGAAGATATCGAGCTTCTCTGGCTTTCGTTTCAGGGTCACTGATGATTTGAGACTGACTGAACTGGAACTTGGCAGAATTGCTAACAACATCCAGGAACTACTCTACAGTGCCTCTGATATCTGCCATGACAGATGTGTTAAGTTTCTTATGGCTAGAGCTAAGGTAATTTAAATTGCAACTGTAGTTTTAATATGTCAGTGTTGTACTTTTTTGTTGTGTGAAATGTATAATTTGATTTGTTTGTGCTCTTATATTAACCATTTAGTTGATGAAAGTGGAATTTGTTGGGGAGCACTCAGCCTTCACAACCATGAAAGGTTTGCTCCCCTGCTTCTCCTCTCCTACTGTGAAAGTTTCCTCTGAGGCCAGTCTTTCCCTCCATCCTGTAGTGGTAAATGGAGCTGAAGAAACTAACAGGACCTAAGTTCACATCCTGTGCATCTACCACAGGGGGGAGTTTTAGAATTGATTTTTTATACATGAGTCTTCTATAAAATGCCAACAAGTCCCAAATCAAACTCATTAGCTAATTCAGTCATATTGTATTGTTACTACTTGGCTCTGATATACAAACGGCAGACAATCGGAAACTCCTACTTTATGTGAAACATGAAATACCACCAATGTGGCCAATGTACCTTTGCCAGCATGCACTAAGCATTCCTACTGCTATGAGTCTGATAATTCTCTTTACCAGGTAAATATAAACCTGCATAATATCATGGTTCTCATTGATTTAAAGGTCAGTGCATATTTCAATAATATTGCTTTCCTTTTACAGGCGCAAAGATTTCTTAGAACTAATTTATAAAGTTCCCTAATTGCCGTGGTTCACTTTATAGTATATGCTGTGAAGCACTTTGAGATGTCCCAACGACGCGATAAGTCGCTATATCAAGTGCAAGGATTATTATTATGGTTTAAATTGTCAGCAAAAAAGGGGAGGATCCTTGTATTTTTGCGCAAGATTAAGTATATATTTTATATATATATAGGCTTGCCAGTTTCTGATTTCAATCAGTAAAAATCTGTGTTTGTCAGGGTTTCCAATTTTCTTCAAATGAATGCTCTTTATTAAAAAAAATGATTGTTTGAAATACAAAAATAATCTGTCAATGTGATACTAAGCAGAAAGTGGAATCCTTGGCAATCTTACAACCTTGACTTTGGCTATTTTTTATTTTGAAAAAAATAAAAACAATCCCCCCCCCCCCCATTAAAATATTTTTTTTAATAATTGAAAGAAAATCCATCTTTTTAAAAAAATCAAACCGGGAATGCAAGATTATAGAAAAACAACAAATTGCATTTGTATAGCACCTTTCCGGTCGGGAGGATGTCCCAAGGCGCTGGCCAACAAACATAGAATATTTTTTAATCTTAATTATCAATTAATAAAATAGTTACTAACATGCATTGGTATCTAAAGCTGAATATCAAAATGTAGCAGCACCCTAAGCATTCAAATTTCTCCATCACCTGAGTCAAAATGTAGAATTGCCTGTCTTTCGGAATTGAGCAGACATGCAGCAAACTCATAAGGCAAACTATTAAATATTTACACGGCTAAGTAATTATTCAGTGCCCCAATTCTTATATTTAGTCTTTAACATTACTATTTTTCTAAGGATGGGTTCCTTGAGAAGCTGAATTCTTCTGAGTTTGTGGCACTCTCACGCACAGTGGAAGCATTTGTTCAGGAGACTGAAAAGATATGTGGCAGGCGAAGCATGTCACTTCGTGGAGCTCTGCAAAGCCAGGCTAATAAGTTTGTGAATCGGTTCCATGAAGAACGGAAAACCAAACTCAGGTGGTTATGATATTTAACAAGACATTGTAGTGAATAGACTAGTTTCAGAGCCTAGGGAAGCTGGAAGCGCCTCACTTTGTATTGTCGGGTTCTTACTCTTCGCATGTTTTTTTTAAAATGTGAGCAGACAGATATAGGAGACCCAATAAAGTCTAAAAGACACAGTTCAAATAAAAAATTCTGTCTTATTACCAGAAAGATATTGTGAAGCAGAACACCACACATTTACGTTCTTATTTTGCCTATATATGAACATAATTTTTTTAAAAAAGCCACATTGCTCGAGTTTAGTTTCTTAGCCAACTTTGTTTTAAGTAAAGATAATCAAAGATCAAAAGTAAAACCGTTTTGTTGAGGCTTTTAATTATGAACAAATGTGATCTGGCTTCATTATTACAGACTCTAATTCTGCTTCTTTCTCTGCCGTAGTCTCCTGCTAGATAATGAGCGTTGGAAACAGGCCGAGGTTCCAGTTGAGTTTCAGGATCTTGTCAATTCCATAGCTGATGGCGTAATTGCTTTACCTGAGAAGAAAACTGCAGGTCAATTCATTAAACATTTTTTCAAAAAAGCAAATTAAGTTTTTTTTGTACAATAAATATATTTTAAAAATTGGGTCATTAAATCCATGACTATTTGTGGGACACTGCTGTGTGCAATTGGCTGCCGTGTTTCACCCACAAAATATGCAGTCAATTCATTTTACAGTACATTTTGTGAAATGCTTTGAGACTTCTAAACGCCATGATAAGGCGTTATATCAAATGCAAGGATTATTATTATTTGATATTGCTTGCGAAGAGAAATTGACTATCCACCATACATTTAAGCTAATGAGCATGGAAATAAAAGATTAAAAAATATATAATTTTTCTAAACTGGTATGCTTAGCATGTGAAATGATTAGCATTTTCAGAATTGCGATAAACCAAATCCTCTATTGTAAGAAGATTTAGCTGCCTGCTTTTCTCTTGTAATTTCTTTTTCTAAACTCGGATGATCTTTAAGGTCAAAATCGCCATCCTATATTCATAAAGTGCGAATACTTAAGCGATTTGTAAATGTTTCGCCCACAAATATACAGTCAATTCACTTTACAGTATATTCTGTGAAGCGCTTTGAGACGTCTAGAAGACATGAAAAGCGCTATATCAAATGCAAGGATTATTATTATTATTAATGTTGTAGATATTACTTGTTTCATTATATTGCTTGTTTAATTTTTAGCTCCGCAAGAAAGAAAACCTGCAGATGTCTTGGCTGTAGATGGGCAAAAGTATGCTGTAGTTGGGTAAGATGCAATTTACTATTAATGAGTGATTGAGGGACCAAACTCCGTATCCACATCTCACCAGTTCTGGCCAGGCTCCACTGTCTCCCCATCACCGAACGAATCGACTTCAAGATCCTCACACTTATGTTCAAATCCCTTCACTCTCTGGCACCTCCCTACCTCTTCAACCTCCTCACTCCCCAATCCACCACCTGGAGCCTCCGCTCGACTGGCACTGGTCCCTCGCACCCTCCGCCTCACCATCGGAGGTCGCGCTTTCAGCCACTATGCCCCGAAACTCTGGAACACTCTCCCTCAATCCCTCCACCTTGCCCCCTCTCTCCCCTTTCTTAAGTCCCGCCTGAAAACCTTCCTCTTTGACTGTGCTTTCAGCCACCTCTCTCTTCCGTATGTTTTGCCTGCATCTAGGGTAAGGTACGGTTGGAGGTGGGCAATATGGCGGAGGTGGAGGAAGGCCGTCCTGTTTAGGGACCGGATATGGAGTAGGATCTTGACTTAGATGCAGGTTGGCAAGAGCCAAGGCTTTGGATCCCAGAATATATATTGGGTACTGCTGGGAGTCTACACAGCCATTCTGCACAAGAGGTTATTGGCAAAAATGAAAGTGTATGGAATTGGAGGTAATCTTCCAACGTGGCTGGGTAATTGGTTAGGAGAGAGGAAACAGAGAGTAGGGATAAAAGGAACGTTTTCTGATTGGCGAGACATGACAAATGGTGTTCCCCAGGGGTCTGTACTGGAGTCTCAGCTTTATATATATATATAATATATATATAAATGACTTGGATGAAGGAATAAAGAATTTTTATATAAAAATTTGCAGATGACACAAAGTTAGGAGGCTCAATAAATTGTAGATGGGAGCAGAAAGTTACAAAGAGACTTGAACAGATTAAATGAGTGGGCCAAACTGGCAGATGGAATTCAATGTGTGGAAGTGTGAGGTCATCCACTATCGATCCAAAAAGAGCAAAATAAAATATTTTCTAAATGGTGAGAAACTAAGAACTGTGGAGGAACGAATGGATTTGTACATAAATCACTGAAAACAAGCTCACAGGTTCAAAAAGTTATCAAAAAGGCTAATGGGATGTTGGCCTTTATCTCGAGGGTGGAATATAAAAAGCCTTGGTATAGAGCCTTGGTCAGACCTCATCAGGAGTACTGCATTCGGTTTTGGACAACGCTCCTCAGGAAGGATATATTGGCTCTGGAGGGAATGGAACCCAGATTCATCAGAATTATACTAGTGCTTAAAGGGTTAAATTATGAGGACAGGTTGCATAAACTTGGTCTGTATTCTGTTGAGTTTAGAAGGTTGAGGGGTGATCTGATTGACGTTTTTAAATAATAAAGGGATTTGATAGGGTAGATACAGAAAAACTATTTACACTGGTGGGTGAATGCAGAACAAATGGGCATAATCTTAAAATTAAATCTAGACAATTTAGGAGTGAAATCAGGTCTCTCACCCAAATGGTAGTGGAAATCTGGAACTCTCGCTCCCAAAAAGTTGTGGTTGCTGGATCCATTCACATTTTCAAGACTGAGGTGGATAGATATGTGTTAGATCAGGTTATCAATGGATATGGCTCAAGGCCAGATAATTGGAGTTGAGGTACAGATCAGACATGATCTTACAGAATAGTGGAACAGGCTCGAGGGGCTGAATGGCCTACTCCTATTTCTATGACTACGTAGTTTGCCATTGAGTGGCGTTATCTCAAATACAAGTATTATTATTATTGAGAACTCATTTTGACATGGATAATATGAACAGTCAAAGTACCTGTTGACAGTGTTTATTCTAGCATTGTAATACTGATGAGTAATCAGAAGGGAGTAAGGGTTGAGATGGTTATCTCTGGAAAAAGCTAGTCATTGCTTTAGTGGAGATGCTGTAAAGTGCAGTGACTGTGTGTTTTGTGGGCAAACAAGGAGTAGACCATAGTGCTCTAGAAAACTATTAAAAATAATGTTCTCACAACCAAAAGGTACTTTATGCAAACTACAGCTTTGATTTTATAGATACTGGAAGTCTGAGATGATGTATATTTATTTTACATTTACAGGACTGTTTTGCTGTTAATAAGAATTATTTTTGAATATTGCCAGTGCGTAGATGACATCCCCTCTATTACTACTGACATGCTAACTCGTCTCTCTGACTTATTAAAGGTGCGTCTTGAAAACTGCTTCTTATAATGTGGATTTTTTAAAAAAAGTGTAAGATATTACAAGTTTATATGTCACCTAGAAGATCGCAGATTAGAGGCCTGGCCTGTGCCTAATTAGCTAAGGAATGTTCTCAACTGGTGCAGGAGTAGTTCCACTTTACAGTTGGCCTTGCTCATGATTTAGCCTCAAGCTCACTGGAGCAGTCAATCTCTGCTAAATAATGAGCAGTTTTGTGCTGTTGACCAGTGCCCATTACAAACTTGAGTCCACCCAAACTCAAGAGTTCAAATAAGAACATAAGAAATGCTAGACAAAAAAAAGGATTATTTTTTCTAAAAGAGAGAGCCTGATAAATGAAGAGAGAGAGAGAGTGCATACTCTCATCCACATCATAGGCTGAATTCAAGTCCCAAGTTCAAGATGCAAAGGGACAATGAAAACCTTTGTTTCGCCCTGTAACCTTTTAATGTATTTTAGATATAAATCAGAACTTTGTGTATTAGTTCAGGGAATTCACTAAAGTTAATGGGCCAATTCCAGAACCAGTTTAAAACAAGTAAATCACGTGTGGGAAAGTAGAATGCTATACCATTGGCTGTGTATTCCTACAGTTCTTTCACACGTCAAGCAGCTGTTATAACTCCTCAGTTATGGACCTTTTGCATGCACAAAGAAACGCATTTCAGTAAAGCAATTTATTAGTGGTTCGTGATTTTAAATGCTGCCATTCATTTATACCCAAAACACTGTATCGTTCTAACCACTAACGATTTTATTTTCTCATTGCAGCATTTCAATTCACGGAGCTGCCAGTTAGTACTTGGTGCAGGCGCATTGCAGGTTGTGGGGCTGAAGACAATAACTACCAAAAACCTAGGTACGTGTCCCCATGTCCTAGTAGCTTATCTATTGGGTAAAGTGGAACATTTATATGTATCATGATATACAATAAGATTTCTTTTAATATTCCTAATATAAATTCACCATGACCCAAACTGTACAGTCACTGTTGATATATTTTGAAGCATTTGGGAGGTTGTGCTAGAATTATAATGAATAATCTAGTTGATTTCCTGCTGGAACGTGAAATATCATTTAATGACCTTGAAAATATTGATATAGTATTCCTTGCATTTGGTATAGCTCCTTATCACCTCAGAAGGATGGAACGTCTCAAAGCGCTTCACAGGATTTACTGTAAAATGGAGAGACTGTGTATTTGTAGGCAAATGTGGCAGCACAATTGCATATAGCAATGTTCCACAAACATGAAATGAGTGCCCCAAATTTTATTTGGGGGAATGTTGACCAGGTCACCAGGAGACACTCCATTCCCTTTTCGACAAGGACAGCCCCTCCGACAATGCTATACCCACCAGCACAGCATTAGAGTGTCAGCTTAGACTATGTTTCCTATTTCAGAGGAGAGTCTACTGGATTGTTGACAGCCATTTGATGATCAGGTGTATTTTGCTTTGAAATTCAGAGTGTGTTTTGAGAGTACAAAGCTTTACACCGATTATCTACTCACTAGCCACTCACGTGACATATTCGCAAAGAAAATCAGGTGTTTTAATCGTGAAAAAAAAACTACCTTGTTAACAGATGAGACTTGTGCCATCGCATAGAGCCCTGCTTTTTTAGGCTATCCTTCTCATCAGGAGTCCGAAGTAAATGACTCCTTTGGAAATTACAGAATCGCTTCCTAAATGATGTTTGGGAGATCATAGAATCATACAGCACAGAAGGAGGCTATTCAGCCCATCGTGTCTGTGCCGGCTCTTTGAAAAGAGCTATCCAATCCAATCCCTCCCCCGCTCTCTCCCCATAGCTCTGCAAACTTATCCTCCCCAAATAATTATCTAATTTTCTCTTAAAAGCTGTTATTGAATCGGCTTCCACCACCCTTTCAGGCAATGCATTCCAGATCCGAACAACTCGCTGTGTGAAAAAAATTCTCCTCACCTCTCCTCTGTTTCTTTTAACAACTATTTTAAATCGATGCCCTCGGGTTACCGATCCACCTGCCAGTGGAAATAGTTTCTCCTTGTTCACCCTGTTGAATCCCCTCATAATTGTGAAAACTTCTATTAAGTCTCCTCTTGACCTTCTCTGCTCCAAGGAGAATAATCCTAGCTTCGCTGGCCTCTCCTGATAACTGAAGTCCCTCATTCCTAGATGAAGAAATAGGAAATTGCAAAATCAACAGACTTGCTACTACTTTCCCAATTCTGATAATTCCCTAGCAATGAAATCAGTGCTATTTCTATAGGAGATACTTATTCTTGGTGCTATGGCTGATGTCAGAAGGGGCTTCAAAGGACAGTCTCAAACCCGGGTTGGGATGGAGTGTACTTTATATTGTGAATAATCTTCTCAGCTTAAAAGGTACAACTGCAACATAAATGACACAAGTGCCAAAAACCATGCCTTTTAGGACATAAATAGATCTTGTTAAGAGAACCCCAATATACATCATGCTAACCCATGAGAACTCTCCCCCGACCCAGGATCACGCAGGTTAGTGTGATGTGAGGTGCACTTGACAACCTGAGGCACATCATCCAGAACTCATTACCTTCTATACAGTGTTTTTCCCATTCCAGCACTTTTCAGCTCCAATATGTTGTACTTGCTTTTGTCTGGTGATGTCTAATAACGTTTGGCCCTTTCATTAATTTTGTGTTTTGTTTGTGCAGCTCTTGCTTCTCGCTGTTTGCAGCTTATTGTGCACTACATTCCCATAATTAGGGTGCACTTCGAAGCTCGACTACAGCCTAAGCAGTACAATATGTTGAGGCATTTTGAACACATCACTAAGGTAAAATTGCAAAACATCCTGATGTAGATTCTAATGTGACATTAATCATGAACTTTCGGTGCGCTGAATCTGGGTTGGAATCAGTGCTGTTTTAATAGTTACCGCCCTCTGGAGTATGACTTAACTTGAAATAACATTCCATTTGAAAACTTTAAACAACACGCAATAGTTAAAGGGAATAAATGCATGTGTTTTGTGCTGGTTTAAAGTGCTCCAGCAAATAACGAAGGAAAGTGAAGGTAGAAAACATGCCACTCTGGAGACATTGGTGGTGCCAGTTGCCACTGCTTGTTTCTGAGTTTGCTGAATCTACACAGCAACTTGCCTCAGGAACGCTAGGGAAGGGTAGGGAGGGAGAAAGTGAGGAGAATTTTCCGGCCAAGTGGAAGCTCTTTTGGATCAGATAGCAGGTGTTCCCACTAGTTTGGGGATTCCTCTCAAACCAACTTCTAGTAAATATGCTAGAAAAGCACATTGTAATTATTGTAATTTTTTTCTTTCCCATCCCGCCTCCGTGCTATTATTAGACATCAGATCTTGTTAAGAGAACCCCAATGTACATCATGCTAACCCATGAGAACTCTCCCCCGACCCAGGATCACGCAAAACAAGTGCCTCAAGTGATTTTGAATAATGTTTTTGCTATGCTGATTTTTAGGAATCCAGATCTTTGTATCTGGTTTGTGTATGTATTGTATTTGGTGTACTTGGTAATTTTTTCTTTTATAGGATTATAATGACCATATCGCTGAAATCTTGGCAAAACTCGTTGCAATAATGGATGGTCTCTGTGACAAAATGCTGTCAAAGGTAAACTTGCAAGTTTGCCGTTCAGAATAAATTCCTTTCCCGCCCAGAGGGCCTAAAGAGCAAAGGCATTTAGGAGACTGCTGCTGATCTCAAATAGTTTTCCTTCCTTCCTGTCTGACATCCAAGCCTTTTGACTTGATTTTAATATAAATAAGTAATGATGAAATCATAGTTGTCCAAGACATCTTCACAAATCTTTTAATTTCCTTTGCTGACTAGGTGGATGTGCTGAAGATTTGTTTCTTAACTTCTGCTAACTGGCAAGGACTTGACTTGCTCCAGTGGTTCATTGTGGCTTTTAGCTGTTTTTCTTGACCTAATGTGTAGAGTTGTCTTCCTTTGGAGAATGAAAATGAAATCAAGCCATCCTACCAAAGACATACCACATCTCACCACAATCTGGAAACAGTTGCCTTTGATAGGGAGTATGATACCCCAATCCTATGCAGGGTAATTGTTTCCACATTGCCTACTGCAGGAGAGAGTACTGGCTATAGAGGGCAATTGTTTGAGTCTCCTACACAATTCCATATTACAATGAATAAGACAAAGAATTAATTGTTTTTGTTGAAGTCAATTGTCTCAATCCTGCAGAAGACAGTCTCAATAATAAACTTAATTTTGTGCAGCCAGCAGCAACACACATTCACTATTTTGGAAAAGGTACATTGTTTTCAGTATAGCACTTGTACCCTACTGTACTCTATGGTGTTCTGCTTTTATGCTTCCACTGGTTATGACCATTAACAAAATGCCATTGTTGGATCTCTGACTTTTGTGCGGTCTTTATAATAAAAAATAATCCTTGCATTTGATAAGGTGCCTTATTACGTCGTTGAGACATTTCAAAGGGCTTCACAGAATATATTGTAAAGTGAATTGACTGTATATGTTGTGGGTGAAAACGCTGCAGCCAATTGCGCGCAACAGTGTCCCATGAACAGTCGTGGATTGCGTGACCAATTTTTAAAAAAAATTGGGAGAGAATTATTACCCCCAGAAAGCGATCCAACAATCGACTAACAAACGGGTTCATGCTTAATGCAAGGTAAACAGAGGTATGTGGAGTAAGAAAACTTGCCTTAGGATTCACCCTTCCTGGGAATCAAACCGGGTCCTCTTGCTTGCGAGGCGAGCGTGCTAACTACTACGCTACTGGACTTTCAGTATTGTTCTAAAATTACATCTACAATACTAGTCATTTTCTTTCCTAGTCCTAAAAGTCTAGGTAAGATTTAAAATGCTGGTACTGGGATGGTTAATGATTGAAGTAGTTCAGAATGCTAAAAACCCTTAAGGCTGTAGAAGTTACAATCCAGTTTGTTTTTAATCTACAGCATGAAGTTAAAGCTCCCGTCCCCTCTGGCTGCTTCAGAAATGTTTGCAAACAAATGGCTAAAATGCATGAAGCGATATATGATCTTCTACCAGAGGAACAAACACAGGTGGGCAATTAGAAAAAAGAATCATTTAATTTGTAAAAAAAATCTTCATTATATTTTACATAGCAGAAACCAATTTAGTAAGATTTTCCTGCCTGTAAAACTTAAGTTGTGTTTATGTTGAGCCAATTATCCAATGTGGAAACCAAATTGCTGCTACTGTATCAAGAAAGGGTTCAAAAAATAATAATCCCCACCTGCGGAATCAGTGACGAGTAGAATTGAGGAAATTTTCTTGATTGAATAATTCTTCATTTATATAATAATCCTTGCATTTCGTATAGCGCCTTATCACATCTTCGAGACGTCTCAAAGCACTTCACAGAATACCCTGTAAAGTGAATTGACTGTATACTTTATGGCCATTATATTGTGGACATTAATATGTACTAAAGTGTAAAAAGTTTGCTAAACTTCGAAGCTCACAGGATTGTTGAGGATGGTGAAATGCATGGAATACTCAGTTTGGATACTCTTAAGCAAGGCGATGGGTATTCCGCATGTGTCAGGCACTCAGCTGGGCTGAAAAAAAACAGGTAATTAACCTAAATGATGGTGGGAAATTAAAAAGGTTTCTATCCCAGAGGTCAAAAACCATAACATTGCGATGCACTCCCATCAAAGTAAAATCCAACTGGGCTGAAAAATAGGTTAGGGCAGGATCCAGCTTGGCTGGGTTGCACCTATCTGATTCCACTCATTCATTGAAGCACAAACACGAAGAAAGGCTAGGGTTAAGGTGCTAAAGTAACCATGGTACTGTACCTATACATAAGTCGCTGCCTTCTGTAGAAAAGTCATAGTCTGGTATAAGAATGGGATAGGATAGAAAGGTCAATTGGCCTTCTGATGCTTAAGTTGCGTATTTTGATAATTTCTAGAGGGGAAGTAACAGCATAATATGTTTCTTTTTCTCTCTAGTTGTTGTTTTTGAGAATCAATTCTAGCTTTAAAGTCCATCTGAAGAGGCAGCTGACCCGTCTTAATGTCGTCAACGATGGAGGACCTTTACATGGGTTGGTACATTTATCTCAATTGACTCAAAGTGCCGACGGCGCAGTCTTGATCTTCGTCCGATTTCTCCAGATAAAGTCCGAAAAGAGTGTAAATGTCTCAAACAGAATGATAGTACATCTGCGACATAATTATTTGTAATTCTTGATCCTTTTGTTAATTTTGCAATTTAGACTGTATTTCTTCTACTTAAAGAAAAAATCTAGTAACCGTGAAAATAATATACTGTTAAAAAATCTATCTTTCTGAAATATCTGCCACTCTTACTCCCAATTCAATCCAGTTACCCCGTATCCATAACATTTTTAATATTTTTATCCACTTTATTGTCCTCATTGGAAGCTTTTTACTAAATTGCTTCTTTGACTGATAGGACATCATGCTCAATCCTGTCACAGCCTAGTTGGCTACAACAGACTGCTTGATAGGCTCTTCCAGTTTGTACTACTGGATTGCCTCAAAACAAACGCTGTCTTATATTCATAATCAATTGCTTGTTATCTTGGCTTTCATCATAACCCGGATATAAGTCTAATGTTCACAAGCTGTACTTGGTTAGAGCCAAGTTAGCTTCACTTAAATACTAGAATCTAGTTTCTAATTCCTCAGTGGAATACTGATGGGATCTAGGTTTCAATCTGTTTCACCTAATAGTTGAATGCAGTTCTGCCCATTTGAAAGCGAGAGAGTGTGAGCTCACAGCTTCTCTGTTGGATCATAAATTAAAAGCTTGCAGCTTTCATCTTTTTTCAGCCTGAGCTAATAATGACAGAGAGACATAACTGACTTGTCCAGAATATATCTTGTAAGTCAGTATGGTGTATCAACACTAAACCTAGGAATGTCGGGGACAAGATGTGAGATAAATGGAGGATGAGATTTTCAGTTTTTTAAAAATAAACATAAAATCTAGAAATAAATACAAGACCTAGATAAAACTAATCATATAATCTTACAGCACAGAAGGAGGCTATTCGGCCCATCATGCCTGTGTCGGCTCTTTGAAAGAGTTATCCAACTAATCCCTCTCCCTCGCGCTCTCCCCATAGCCCTGCATATCTTTTCTTTTCAAGTAAATATCCAATATACATTTTTTCTCTCTCTCTGAAGGCTTGTTGCATCAGATCTAGCTTTCTATACTGGAAATATCCAAGCATTAAAAGGACTTGAGAATTTGGACCTTAACATGGCAGAAATCTGGGAACAGAAGAGGTGACCCTAGGACCCTCGAGAAGCTGCTTTTCCAGGGCGTTTTCATGATAATCCTGGACCGTCACTGCCCTGAGAATCAAATATCTTAATGAGAGTCCACACTGAGCTTTTCTCTCGGAATGAAGACTAAATCAGGGAGTGATTCACACGAGATGTCCTTCAGTGATCAACTGCTCAGCTGTTCGTTCATGGTTTCTACAACCTTTGAAACCAGCTTCAGGTTTCTTTGGACCAAACCCAATACTGGAAGTCTGTATGTAGCACTAAAGGATGCTTTGCATCTGATTATTTGTATATTAAACCTCATGTGCAATCATAACACTATCTGTTAAAAAGTTCCTACAGTTGTAACTAATGATGGTACAGTTTGTAAAATATATTTTAAATAGGTGTAAATTCTTGCAACATTTTCAATTTGTGAAAATGGATTGGTCATTTCTTATCCATGGGGGAGGGGGATGCTAATAATCTTGGAGCTTTATTTTTTTACAAACCTTTCTATGGATTTTAAAAACCAAGTCTTTTTGAATGGTGGTTGCATATAAGATGAACAGTTTCTTATAAACCACAGTTTAAAATCTAAAATGGAAGTGTTGCAGAAAATGTTTTTAGGTGTCGCATTCTTATTATCCTGTAGATTATAGTTGGGTGTTTATAGTAAAGTTTGTTTGAGGGATCAACTGTTCAATTTTATTTGCCATTGCAAATATGGCAGATTTCAGGTTTTTATTCTGAAATACCTGCTTATTAAACAAAATGTTTTTGTGCTCAAAATGCTTCACTGGAATTTTATGGAACGCTTCAGGTTAAACTATGGTTTTTATTGATTTACAAACATTTCGAAGCAGAATTTATGGCAGTTCAATCTCAATTTCCATCATTTCTGTGGGAGTTTTGTAATAACGTGCAATCAGTAACCTGAGTTAAAGGAGAATGTCTACCCTACAGTCAAGTGCCTAATCTTACAGCACAGCATTAGTTTGTGCTACTAAGAGTAAAGTCCTTATCTTCTGAGTGCCTAACAATACATTAATGGCGCTGAAGGCAGACTTATCTCCCCTTCGACTGCTATTAAAATTAATTTAAAGGTTGCTTGCTGGGGAGGTTCACGACTAACCATAATATCTCTCCAATTCTGATGTTTTTAAAACTGAAAGTTCAAAATAAAAATTAAATGAAAATGATTGGTTTGGATTTTTTGTAGCAAGAGCACTTTGCTTTATACATTGTGAGTGGACAGGATTTTGTGGATTCTACAACTCCTTCTTTTGACCGTATCGAACAGCTGTCCTTTACTAAACAACAATTTGGTAACCAGGAGCAAAGCTAAATGTGTATTCTGAACGTTTGACATATTACCTCTCGGCTGGGAATACTGACCTGCCAACATGCCTTCATTTCTTAAATGTCTGCTCATTTCTCAGCTGAAGGTTAAACATACTAAATGCAAATCTGTTAAATGGACATCTACCCAATAGAAGACAACGTAATCGTTCAGTGTTTTTGAATGTTGAACAGTGAATATATATTTTATCAACTTTTGTTCATTCATCAAGGGAATGGTAAATTAAGGATTACTGTACTAGGGACAGGCACTTGTAGAGACATCAATATGTGGCCAGGTAGATGATGTAGCAAAGGAAGAAAGGTCTTTTATTTTTATAGTGTATTATGCCAAGGTTTCTCCCAGTGATTCGCAAGAAATTCATGAGAACTGCAAATTAGCTGCTGGATTTGCCTACAAATACAATCACTACATTTAACAGTAATTCTCTGTGAAGCTTTTTGAAACATTTTAACGTCGTAGGTGCTGTTTCATCTAACCAGAGCTGGTACTTGTAAACTCACACGATAAATAGGAGAGTTTATTAGTTAGGAGCTTTAAACCAATATTTTAATAATAACAACTTGCATTTATATAGCGCTCTTCACGGTGGGTAGTGTCCTGGAGCTCTTGACAGTGGCAGAGACTTGACACCGAGCCAGGGGGAGGGAGAGGGGGAGGTGACCGTAAGCACGATCAAAAAGGAAGATCTTTAGGCAGGATTTGAAAGTGGGGAAGGTGGACAAGGTGGAAGGATTGAGGGAGAAAGTTCCAGAGTTTTGGGGTGTAGTGGCTGAAGGGATGGCCATTGATGGTGGAGCGGAGGGGACTGAGTGACTAACAGGAGGCCGGAGGCAGCAGGTGGTGTGGTGAGGGGTAAGCAAATGGATAGGTTGGGATGTGTGAGGGCATGAAGGGATTTGAAAATGAGTGACAGGATCTTGAAATCGATCCATTCAGTAATTGGAAGCCAGTGGAGCCTGGCAAGGACTGGTGTGATGAGGCACAGAGTTTTGTGCGGGTGAGTATCGGGAGGTGCAGGTTTGAATTAGTTAATTTGTGTCTGGTGGAGCCGGGGAGACCAGCGAGGGGGCCATTGGAATAGTCTAGCTGGAAAATGACAAAGGCATGGACGAGGGGTTCAACTTCTTGGGTTGTGAAGTCCCTCCAACATCACCCCAACATTGAAACAGCACTTATGACGCAATGTGATAGTGGTGGGAAAAAAAGCAGTCCTGGTCAGGGAAACAATGTGGGGTAGAAAGGAAAACTAGGGATCAAACCTAATGCCTAAGTTGCACTCGGGCTCAGTGATTCCGAGGGAGTGCTTGGGGAGGTTAAGGAGTTCAGACCCACAGAAGACGTTGAAGGGAGCCAAAGAATATGGCATCCGTCTTGCCAACATTCAGCTACAGAAAGTTTGCACTTATCCAGGCCTTAATGTCCGTCAAACAAGCCGACAGGACATCAGTGGACTGGGAGTCGCAACTGGAGAAGTAGATTTGTGTCTTCCACATACATGTGGCAGTCGACCCCATATCTTCGGATGACATTGCCAAGAGCGAGCATGGAGATGAGGAAAAGGGGGGGCCAAGGATGGTACTTTGGGGTACCCCACAGGTGACTGGATGGGGGCGGGAGGAAAAAACATTTGACGAGATGTTTTGTTGCCGGTTTGTTAAGTAAGACTTGAACCATGCAAGTGCGGTCCCACAAAAGTTGAATTCCTCGCCCATTAAATATTTATGGTGTAAAAGCTGCTAGTGATTTTGGTTGCTACATTGAAATCAAATTATATCTATTTATTGGGTAATAAAGCGTTGTGGTTTCAGATGTTCAGATCTATAAATTGCATTTTCTTGGGGCAAGAAACCACTTATTGACTGGCAAAGCAACAGTAGCAGCAGATTCTTGACCACATTTAATGCAATGGCCCAGGGCTCAGATTTTAGGCATCCGGTAATTCCCCCCAAGAAAGTCTAGGAAAGTGGCACTCATATTTCCATGAAAACTAAGATACCTAGGATGACAGTGAATTGCTGCAAAGACCTGATGGTGACAGCACCTTTATTTAGTAAACTGTTGTGTGGCTGAACACACCAGTATAATGCTTCAGACTAAAGTAAGACTACAAGCAACTAAAAGGTACAAGTTTAAATCAACAGGCAGGCAGCTTGTGATAATAATAATCCTTGCAAAACATAAAATACTACAGATGCTGGAAATCTGAAAAAAAACAGAAGTCGCTGGGAACACTCAGTAGGTCAGGCAGCATCTATGGAGAAAGTGAGTCAACGTTTCAGGTCCACCTTCCTTCGTCAGAACGGGGGCATGTTGGGAGGGTGAGGCTTTTAAGGGCTGACAGAGAGGGGGGAGGCAGGGCAAGGAAGACAAAGGAGAAAATGGGATAGAGGACAGGGGATGATGTGTTACAGAGGTGTTAATGATTACAACAAAGCAGGGGAATAGAGATGTTAATACTGCAGAATAGAGGTGTTAATTCCGCCGCTTCCATGCCACTTTATTTGGCCAGGAGGCCTCCCCCTGCACATCGGACCCCTTCTCCTGTCTTCAGAAGGCCCATTCCACTTAGTCCCCGACCCCAGGCTCCTTACCCTCCCTGGACCTTTCACATCCTCCCGACGTGAAAGGCGCTCTGTAAATGTAATTTTGTTGTTGTTGTTGGACCTGTTCATTGTTGGACTTGCAAAACAAATCCTGATCTGCCTGTTTTGTTGCAAGTTCTTTTTCCCCCCTCCCCATTTTGTTCTGCAAAAGTATAATTTGCTGGGTGACACCTTCCTATAATCTCACTTCTATCCTTTCCCTTCTCCCCCACTTCCCAATTCAATCTTACTTACACCCCTCCCCGATCCTGCCCCCCAGCTCGGGTCCAAATCCCTGACTGTCCAGCGCCTTGGGACATCCTCCTGATGTGAAAGGCTCTATTACAAATGTAATTTGCATTGTATATACTTCTACACCTTCTCTTAAGATTTTTAGATGCTATTTCTCATAGCTCATCCTTCAATCACTGGGCAACAGCTCTGTTAGTTACTCTTCTTACCAGCTACCCATAAAGCTTTCAACTTTGTCCGACAGGCGCTGGACAGTCAGGGATTTGGACCCGAGCTGGGGGGCAGGATCGGGGAGGTGTGTAAGTTCTCTCCTACCCATGTAGTACAGGTACAGATTTTTACCTGCTTGAAGCACCTTGCATATAATATCTGCAATTCGAGTGAAACCTGCCATTCTCACACAGAATAAGAGGAACAATCACAAAACAAAATGATAGAACTTTCAGATGATTCAATTGCACTTTGTTTTATTAAAGATCATTAAGTGACTATCAAGTCAGCAATGGCTCAGAACAGTTACAGAACACTCCAATCCTTTAAGTAATGAACACGTTTTGGTATTCAAAAGACACTCAACTTTGCTTGTAACTGCTGAAGCAAACATTTATAATTTGATATACTTTTTAAAAATTGAAGAGAATTAGTTCCATTCATATTTTTGGGAACAAAATGGTTGACTTTGGTATAGAAATGCTACTTTAGTACTCGGGATTAATTACGAGATATTGCCTTACGACTGCCACAAAAAGTGGTAATGTACAATTTTAATACAGTAAGCAATTAACTGTTCTGAAAGTACTGTTTCCACGCCTGAACCAAGCATTTACTACAAGCATTAAGTGGACATAAAACTAGGTATGAATATTAATATTAGCTTAAACAGTCCTCATGATAATAGAAATAATAGTTTAGGATCAGGATGGCCTTTGTTTTCAGTGGTCCAGAATCCGTAGATTCCCCGAAACAATCTTGTTTTCCAAAACTGCACCTCGAGGGATGTCGATCCTGTCTCCATGATTTGCAATTATTATAACCGTTCCCTGGATACAGAACAAAAGCTCAGATCACTTGTGTCAAGTAAATTCAAACACAGCAATTACAAGTACATTAAAATTGAACTCTGTAAATGAACTGAGAATCAAACACTTGCAAAAAAAACTACTAGTTTAATATCAGTTTTTATTGCATTTCTATTCATCTTGAGAACAACTCAACAGTACAAGCAGGATCTCATGCAGTGCAGGACTTGTCATTAATTAATTCTGCATTTGCCATTGCTTTGGGGTGTGGTGTAAGATTTCATAGGCTATTTTGGATGGCAAATTAAATGAATTCATCATATTTCAATCTAAAACAATAACACGTCAAGTCTTTTACTAACCTTCAATGCAACGTTCTTGCCAAAAGTGACATCTCCTGAAACAGTAAGGTGATCCAGTTCAAGCATATCTGGTATATTTTCAAACCTGCTCAGGTAATCCTGAACCTATGTGGAAAAAAAACAAAAGATGACCACTGTGTGAACCATCTTCAAGTATCATATTCCATTATGCGTCATAGTTTCATTTGATTATTTGACAGGAGAATATCTGAGCCCAACCTAACACCACCAGATACTACAATTAAATACTAGTCTTTGTTCTTACAAGCCAGTATTCAAGACAACTACTTTTGTGAATGAGAGGCCCATGCAGAATCTTGCATTCAGCTAATTTCATGAGTGGTTTGAATGAAGAAAGCCCTTCAGCCATTTCATCTCACTCTTCCAGAATCCCCACCCTAAAGTTCTCCTATCATACCATCAAAAGCTGTCAAACAAGTCCATGTCATGGTCTCATCATTTCATCCTAGAAACCCAGTTGATAATTACCCTCTGGGCAAAGAAATACTTCTGTGTATCTGTCGTGAAACTGCGCTTTGAATTGTGCTCGCTTGTTCTGTATATCGTGTCAAAATGGCTTTAGGAGGAAATTGATGAATAAAATAAAGACTATTGCAAGCAGTAAGTCTATCTTATAGGATAGCCACGAACATGCTCTCTCTTTCTTCGCCATTTGCTCTTTTATTCTAATTTTTCACTTTACCCAGTATTTTATTAATTACGAATTACCCAAACAGCTATAAACTAAGGCAGCCATGGATTTGCTTTCTAACATCCCGCTTATTGCAATCCTTTTAATGCAGACTTGTTTGGTTCAGCACAACAGTGCAGTGTAAAATAACCGCCTCTCTACTCAGCCTTAAAACAGAATGCACGGTTCCAGAACGGTGAGCAAGAGGGGGTTTGTCTGACTCATGATAATAATAATTCGATCACTCAATCCACAACCATTTTTGGGACACTGCTGTGCCCAAAGAAATATACAGTCACCACATTTTACAGTATATTTTGTGAAGCTCTCTGAGACGTCACGAAGATGTGACTATATAATAATAATAATCCTTGCATTTGATATAGCGCTTTTCACGTCGGGAGGACGTCCCAAAGCACTTCACAGAATACACTGTAAAGTGAATTGACTGTATATTTGTGGGCGAACGCGGCAGCCAATTGCGCACAGCAATGTCCCACAAACAGTCGTAGATTGAAAATGACCAATTTATTATTGTTTTGGGTTTTGGAGGGATTATTATAGGTTATAGGTGGAATGATTGGAATTCTGTTTAGTTTGGATACTCTTATGCATGTGATGGCTGACCCCCCCACAAAACCTTGTCAGTTACTGACTACTGAAAATCCCAGGATTCAAACTGGGATATTGTAGATTACAGCTGGCAACCTTTGTTGCTAATTTAAGGTTCGATAAATGCTAGTTCAAAATGTTTTCCAATACCCAACCAGTAACATGTTTTTATCATTTATTTGTTGCTCACGTTACAGCCCTAAAATTAGCATGCAGACTAATGACATATGTGGAGTCCTGTAGCTCAGTGGTTAGAGCACTCGCTTTGCAAGCGAGAGACCCGAGTTCAATTCCAGGCAGAGGGCGAAACCTTGGGCAAGTTTCCTTACTCCACACACCTAATAATAATCCCTCCAAAACAAAAAATAATAAATTGGTCATTTTCAATCTACGACTGTTTGTGGGACATTGCTGTGCGCAATTGGCTGCCGCGTTCGCCCACAAATATACAGTCAATTCACTTTACAGTATATTCTGTGAAGCGCTTTGGGACGTCCTCCTGACGTGAAAAGCGCTATATCAAATGCAAGGATTATTATTATTATTATTATTATTATTATTAGGCTCTGTGTGGAGTAAGGAAACTTGCCCAAGGTTTCGCCCTCTGCCTGGAATTGAACTCAGGTCTCTCACTTGCAAGCGAGTGCTCTAACCACTGAGCTACAGGACTCCACTATATCAAATACAAGGATTATTATTTTTTTTTAAAAATGTAACCAGCTCTTTCATAATACATAATATAACAACACAACAAAATTACATTTGTATAGCGCCTTTCATGTCAGGAGGAAGTCCCAATGCGCTGGATATAAGCAAGAATCCAGTTTGACGCTGCTAGCTAAGGACATTCAACAGATGTCTGCCAGGTCTTCTCATTGTTCTTACAGCAGTACCGACACACAACAAGCAATTTAATTTCTATAATTTCTTCTGCATCCAAATTCTGGGTAGCTAACCATGACTAAATGAAAGAGCGTTGGTATTTTAGCCCACCTATTTGAAAGGTACAATCTACCTGCAGGGTATCAGCTTACAAAACATACTAAAATTGATAAAGACCAGAGAATGCAAGACAGCCTGAAGATTTTCCTTGGATAACTGTTAATCATGTTTTACAAAAAAATCTGCACTTTTTTTTTACCTTAGTAAAAGATCTGCCCAGTTTCACCAGAGGCACAGTTCGAAATTCTCTCTTCTTGCTCATCATCAGGGATCCTGCATCCAGACTGTACAAGTTAGACATCACCAGCAGTAGGTCAGAAGTGGTTTTAACAGGCAAGAAACGGCTACGTGGCACATTAACACCCAATGCATTGTCAAAGGCCTTAATAGCAGCACCCACAGCTGTTTCGAGCTGTATCACATTTAGACCATCGTCCAAGGTCTGTTGAAAGAAAAAAAATTCACACAGATTTTCAACACAAAAATATAAAGCTTACACAAGGAAAAATGATTAGACAATCAGAGATCAACTCATTACCGCCACAGCACATCTAAGAACACGTTTGATTCAAGAGAACCAAATGCAAAATAAAAACAGGAAATTAAATAAATTCATTTGATGGTGTGAAACACCACTTACAAACAAAATTCAATGTGACAGAAAGCATAATTTGACAGTCACCCGTCACAAGAAATTCCTGCTGTGGCCAATTGGCTGCCGCATTTTGTCCACGAAATACACAGTCGATCCACTTTACAATATATTCTGCGAAGCGCTTTGACACGTCTGAACCGCGCGATAAAGCCCTATATCAAATGCAAGGATCATTATTAATAATAAATTAATGAACGTGAATTCAAGGAAGATGAAAGGCAAGGTAACATCAGGTGAGCTCTTAGAAAGTTCTGACAAAAGTAACTGAAGCTTTGATAAACTGAACACAAACCATAAGGGATGAATACACTCCTTAAATAGAAACCGAAGCTGCCAAACTGGATGGGTATCATATTCACCTGATAAGGCGCTTTATCAAATTGACGGATTATTATATAGGAAGTAAAAAAAATAGAAGGCTCATGGGTGGGATAGAACTTGCTAAGAAGAAAGCTGAAAGAGACCTGGGGGCATTCAATAATGCACTGCTCACTAAGTTAAAACAATGTCAGGCAGTAATAAACAAGGCAAACAGTATATTGTGAAAATCAGTTGAGATCACATCCCAGGTGTCATGCTCATATTGTACAGTGCTTTGGTCAGGCCACACCTGAGTCCAATTCTGATTGCCACAAAGTACACATCTTCGCAGGCCCTAGAGGCAATGCAAAGGAGAGTAACAAGGATGATTGATCAGAGTTAAGAAAAATGATGAACAATTAGACAAGTTTGCATTCTTCAGCCTTGAAAAAAGAAATTTTAGAGAGGATTGACCTTAATAGGATATTTACAAGATTTCAGATGGGATTGAGAATTAAACAGAGAACAATGCTTTCTTTCAGATACACCAAGGCAGCAGAACAAGAAGGCACAGATTCAGTGTTTGCAAAGGGAAGTGTAAATATAGGACAAACACAAGGAAGTATTTCTTTACCTAGAGGGTAATTAATAACTGGAATGGGTTACCCAGAGGTGTGAGGCCACGGGGAGCTGTAATGGGAAGATAATCCTTACATTTAATTTATCATCATATCACATCATAATATGTCAAAACGTCTCAAAGTGCTTCTCAGGATTTTAATGTAAAGTACAGGGACTGTGTATTTGTACGCAAATTGTAAAGTGGGTGTTCTGGAAGGATGAAATCAAATGAGCCAAAGGGTCTTCTTCATCCAATCTATTTATAGATCTATTTATCTATCTATAAATTTATAATCATTGTGTGGTCTATAGCAAAAATCTATAAATATTAAGGATTTGTCCTTACCAACGGAATGACAATTTTCTCTTACCTTATAAATGATGGAAATATTACAATATTTTTGAATAGCTTCAAGCAATCCAACAGAAGTGCTAATCATTAAAAAATAGCTAGTTACAAAACTTGCAAATTTCGAGCACAACACAGTTTAATATAGTTACCTTTGGGTTGACAATTATTTCCATATCAATTTCATTATGCTCTTGCAGCCTTTTGATTGCAGCCAAGGAAATCCATAAGTTGTTAGTGTTGAAGATCTTGAACTTGGAGACCGACTTGAACTCATCCACATGTGCTTTAGGCACTTGAGCGATTTCCAGCAATCTTAGCTTGCCATCATATTGAGTGAGGGTACCACCCTGCAGGGATCAAACGTTAGTTTCAGAGCACTTACAAAAAGTTCAATATAGCTACAGAACTTTCTTTGTTACCTGCTTTTGAAATTTACTCTTCATATATATGGGAACACGCATTGCACATGGATTTTGCCAGAACTGCTTAAACATGTACATCAATCACACAGCTCATTTAAACATCGCCATTTTATCTCCTTCACAATCAATTACTTACCTTCACGTCTGCTCTTGTCTTGTCAGTAACTTCCATAACAAACTCACAGGGTTTTCCATTTGGTGGATCCAAAAGATGATGGAGAATGTGCAGGTCAACTGTTGCTCCAAGGTTATCTATGTTTGACACAAAAATATATTCCTTTGTCTCATTCAAAAACTTATCCAACAGACCAGAGTGGTGGAAGCTGGCATAGACGTCACCATGACCTGGTGGGTACCAGGCTTCTGCATTTTCCCCAGTGCCAGATGCATTCGTAGCCACAGGAAGCAAAGACTCCTTGTTGATTCTTGGGTACCTAAGGAACAATTCAGCGATTAGGGCATTGTACTAAAAACACAAGGTTGATCAACTGGTCTTGAGCATCTGGTTGTTGCAACATTAAGTCATATCTGATACTCTAAGATGACTTGTTATCCATTAAAAGATGAATGACCAATTGTATCTGGGGATTGTTGGTCAGGACACAGGAAGAAACTCCCTTCTCTTTTCAAATAATGCCATAGGATCTTTAATGTCCAACTGAATAGCTATAGAGAACCTTGGTTAAAGTCTCATTCAAAAGTCGGCACCTTCCAGCAATGCACACACCCACAGCACTGCACAAAGTGGCAGCCTAGACCATGAGCTCAAAGACCTGATGTGGGGCTTGAACCTACAACTTTCTGACTGAGAGGCAAGAGCGCTTCTAACTGAGCCAGGCTGACACCTGGCAGTACTGGTCAATACAATACAAGGGGGTATTGAGAATAAATGGGCCAAAGGCCTTCTTAATTCCTAGAATAGTGACCTTGCTAATAAACCCATTAATTTACAAAAAATGTTCGAAATCCACGCAACCTTTAAAAACAACAAAAATCCCAAACCTTTCATTTTAAGCTGCAGTATTTAGGTTGTAAGGGTAGAGCCAAAGCAAAATGTTATTTTTAAATGAACAAAATACTTCAATCTTCAGCATTACTTTACCTGCTTTGGTTGAAAATATGGATTTTCACACGACAGTTACTATATTTCTGTAATATCTTCTTAGTATCCTCAGCAGTGTTGAACGAATTCATTAAGACTAATGGAACATCTGTATCATATGTTTTGTTCAAATGCTGGCAAGTCAAGAACAAACAAAACCTTTGTACCATTCAAATACATATTAGCATTTTACATCCATTTCACTAACTTGCCGAATAAAAGCACAAGTATTGCATGCCGATGTCAATGCAATATATTTTTAAAAAAGGTTTATAAAATAAAAAAAATTCACCCACAAAATATACAGTCAATAAATAAATAAAAATTTGGTCACTCAATCCACGACTGTTTGTGGGACACTTCCGAGTTTCACCCACAAAATATATAGTCAATTCACTTTACAATATATTCTGTGAAGCGCTTTGAGATGCCTCGAAGACATGATCAGGCACTTTATCAAATGCAAGGATTATTACTATTATTTATAATAGTGATAGACATTAGAAAAAAAATGTTTTAACTATTAGCTAAAGACTTAGCCAAATAGTACAATAAGTTAAAAATGTAAGACAAGCATTTGAGTGTTACCTCAATCTGTAGAACTGTAAGGTCCAGAAATGTATTTTCATTACGAACACCAATAAGACTTTTGGGACCTTTGCAGCCCATGCTGGTACCAAGACCTCCATTCAGTTTTACGACTACCAGTTTTTTCAAGAGTGAGGCAACATTTTCAGGCAACTGTCTGGCTTTCATTTTATCATAAGACAGAATCTGGAAACAGAATTAAATGCATTTTATGAAAGGATTGGGAGGGCTAGAGAGCTATCAGTAGATGTAAATATCATGTCAAAAACATAATTAACATTATTTCTTTGCACAGAGGATAATTATGGATGGAAACCAGGAGGGTGGTTGAGGCCAGAACACTGGAACCAGTTAAATAACAGCATGACCAGACACCTCCAATATTATGAGGCTGCGGCTTACAGACTAGGAGCTCATCGATTTAAATACTGGCCCATCCTGAGTATAGTAGTCTCAGCCAGGCCTGCTTGGAAAGCTAAATAGTCCCAGCCTTTTCATATTTAAGGAGGAGAAAAACAGCAAGGGTTCCTGGTCCTCGTTCTTCTGTAGCACCTTTGTCCATGGTGCAGACAAATAAGGAGTGATCAGGCTCTGCTATATCATCCTCTACAGTCAAATGGCCTGCCGACAAGTTGAAGCTCACTCATGAACAACAGCCACTTGAGCGGGATACAGAGGCAACAAGCATCTGTAGAACAGTAACGTAATAAGATGAGGCCAGACCAGAAAGGGAGAGGCAGTGGTGCCAGCAAGGAAAGAAAATTGGACTCAATTTTTAAAAAAACAAGAAACAGCTTGATGCTGTAATGGGAAGGTATTAGGGTGGATATTCTGGAACGACGAGATCCAATTGGCAGATGGCCTTCATCAAACTGCTTAAGTATGAGTTCCCAGGTGGTAAACTAAGAGCAGAATTAGGTAAGACAAAGCCAGTGAGCAAGCTCCATTTCTCTATTATTTTTCAAAAAGAAACACCTGAAGGCTTTACGAATTGATATTAGAATTTAAATGAATGTGGTTATATAGGCCAAGTGAAAAGATGGTAATATACCTACAAAGTACTAACAACAACTGTGTTACGAAAGTAAACATTAAAGTACTAACTTTAATACTTCTAAAGAGCACCCAGCAACAGCATACTGCTCTGTGTGACGCAAGTTTTTAAAAAATATTTTTGCGTAATCATTAACCTGGCCTCAACATTACACTAATTATGTGAACTTCAGCACTGATTTTCCAGGCTTACTGCCCTAGATTTTCCAGGCTTACTGCCCTAGAAATTATTGAAAAACCCAACTCTGGGCCTTAGAGCAACTGTATAAAAAGGGAGTACCTAACTGAAGCACCCTCCAGAACTACACCCTTCACCCATTATCCTGATTCAACAACTTTTTACTTGTATATCCTAGGCAACTGGCTTGTATCCACACTTACTATTTTTAAAAATGGGATTGGGGGCGGCATGCGTTAAGTCTTTAGAGACAGTATCCTTGAATCACAATACAGCCTTCTGTCACAAGCCTTAGAAAAGGCAATGTGTTAACTGCATGCTGATATAGTTTACGATGTAATCAAGACATTTTTGCTCTGCTGTCGTTGGCAGAAGTAGAATTACTTTGCTTGAAGAACACTTTTTTTTAGTCCATTAAAAAAAGCTATGTCAATACTGTGAAAACTGGATTTAATATGAGCATTGGTCCTGGCACCACTCAGTGCAAGTCAGGTTTTAATTGCAGTCCAATCTAGGTTTCAATGTGTTTCCATTTCCTTATGTGTCAGCCAAGATTATACTCAAGAGAACATAGTTGTGGCCCCAAACTTACTCCTTGCCAAACCAGTTTTTGGCAGCTGATTTGCCCGTGGGGAATACAGGTTCTTGGTTAATAAGTAAAAACTAGAAGTTCCTGTAACAATCAGACAGTTTAACATGATTCCTGTGAGTTTATTGCTTCTACAGCAATATGGCACATAATAAGAAAGCTGGAAATGTTCATCATGTAAATACATAAGAGACTGTCATATGCAGCATTTGTTAAGAGTTTAATTTTAGTATAGCTTCATTAAAAATGTAAGCTTAATTATAGGAGTATATTCAATGTGGAGTAGTATACAAACCAATACTGATCCTAACATTTATTTTCAAAGGAACTATTGAATAGGTTTAAAACAGATTTCACAAGCAGTTTAAATGTTAAGTACAAATGCATCCTACATGCCAAACTTAGGCTCACTGAAGCTCTGTTTCAAAGGTGACATTACTGACTTGATTACGAAGCTTAAAATCTGAAATGCGTACATACTAATTACTTGAAAAGATAAAGAACTAACCAAACAATGTCTTGGTAAACTGAAAAGGCAATCAGAGCCCAGATTATTTTCGCACTTAAATTCACCATATTACATTGTACCACAACTGGCTATGCATCTATTATGGCAACCTACAAACATTATGTTCAAAATTCAGTTACAAACAGGCAATACTTTTATGAATAGACATCCTGCTTCAATGGGATCAATTCATTGGACTGTATCACCACATGATCATTCATACACCCCAAAAACACTACCTCTTAGACTGCACTGCTGCTACAGGAAGCATGCTGGCTGCCAGCCAGAAAGAAAAATAGTAGAAGTCTGTATTTCTCATCTCCACAAAGTTCACGTGGCAGTTCTGTCTACAATTATATGCACTGTACAATTCTACTGGAATTTTAAAAAGTTTCTTCACCTCCACCCCACCATAACTTTACCGTCTCCCTATTTACTAGTCATGATTCTCCTCTAACCATAGAACACCACGAGAATTTCTGAAATGTCAATCACCATAAATAGACCAACAAGTTCCACCACTGTGATGGTGTCAATTTTCAGTCTCTAACCTTTTGAGTTGCTTTTGCTAGAAGATGCCATTTTGTATCAGGTGCAGCAACTCAAACACAATGTATAGTCTGTTGGAATCTTTAATATCTGCCTAATCGGGCAGTTGGGACCTCAGTTTAACATCTCATCCAAAGGACCTCAGCTGTCAATGCAGTATTCCCCAGCACTGAAGTGTCAGCCTGGAGCTGAGGTCAATAGCCATAAAAATTCTGGATGACCTACTCCAATAATTGCTGTTTCAAAAAAATGCACAATTTGCAACATTCTGTGCACTAGTTTTTAAGTGCTCTGAGACACTATCTGTGTGAAGGGCACTATATAAATGCGAGTTGTTGTTGTAGTATCAGTAGTAGTAGTAGTAGCTATTGAGGAAGGGACATGGGAAGAAGAATGAAATGGCAGCTTCAAGCATTAAACAACAACAACAACAACATTCCATTTATAGAGCGCCTTTCACGTCGGGAGGACGTCCCAAGGCGCTGTACAGTTGGGTCAGGACCCGAGCCTTGGGGGGAAATGGTCAGGGTGAGGGGAGGGAAGGGAGGGAGCGAGGAGGGGGTAGAGAGTCGAGAGGGGAGCTGAAGGCACGGTCAAAGAGAAAGGTCTTGAGACCGGCCTTGAAGGAGGAAAGGGAGGAGGCAGCGAAGGCACTGGGAGATAGAGTTCCAGAGCTGATTCCTGGATGCACCTCATAATGTAAAGTGATGTGAAAATTAACTAGAAATGAGTGTTCATAGTAGTATTACCGGTTCTAGACATTATATTCACGCCTTATGCACTGAGCCTAGTACAGTAGTACTCTATTTACACAAAACTTACAGAATCTTCTGGTGCTTTTTGAATTTTTTCCCATTCTACGGAGGGTCCCTTCTTTTCCAAAAATCGGTGAAACAGTTGCTGGAATCTCTCAAAATTTTTCTTTATGTCCTTAAAATAGACAATGCCTTAATTAAACTCCCATGAATCATTCTTAATACAAAACATAAAATGGCCTAGAAATAGATTCAACTCATTGTATTCTTTACATAGTTCAGAATATCAACCTAATGATCTAAAAAGCTTTCAGTATATAAAAATTAAGTTATTTATGATCAAATTTCCCATAATGTACAGAAAAGTTACGATTATTCAATTTATGAGTTAACCAATTGCTTTTTAATCATACAAACTGAAATGGCAATAAGCCAGATAAAAAAATACAATCGGCTTTCATCCTGACACCCAGCAGCTTTCTATGTGGGGCATCCTCAATAATAATAGCCTTTAAGTTTAAGGTCAGTCAACCAGCAACTTCCGACAGATTCAATTAAGAACTAACTTGCATCAAAATTAAGGTCAATTTGTCCTTTGCCAAAAACAGGTTCCGTAAACCCCTTTTTTGATTCCACCATTTAAAATTCCATGTCTGGTTTCAACAGAGAACTGCGGGTGTCTAAAATTGTATTCATTAAATTATCATAAAGTGTCTTTTTAGAAAACGATAGTTCAGTTCAAACAGACTGCTCAGTTGGTTCCAAAAACTCATTACTTTGTTACCAATGGATACTTTAAAGCTGAAGTTTCAACTAATTACTCAAAGGGTGTCGGTTCAATTTAATTAATGGCAATTAAAGTTTTTAACCACAGAACAAGGCGTTTTTTTGTGGGAGGCAGGGTCTATTTTATTCATCAAAAAAGGGAAATGTTTAACGTAACCCCCCACAAACAAATCTCTTAATAAACAAGGTAGATACTAACAAAACATTTTTAAAAAAAAATACAGCAGTCGAAGGGGCAAATGTGCTCTTTTGAGGCCAAGACCGAAGACAGGGTGCAATGTGCGTTGTACATCCCAAAACCTATCTCTTTGCATTGGGATGCTCCACATCATATTGTGCATACATTCCTTAATGTATGAACGAGGAGAGTTTTCGGGTGAAAGCGCACTACCATGGACCAAATAAGAGTTACAAATTCAGTATTTAAACATTAAATTTGAATGGAAAATTTTAACCGAATGATTTCCACTTAAAACACTATTTTTTGGTTTTAAAAAAAAACAATTTTATCGACCCTTACTTTTAATATATAAACAATTCACTTGCAACATTTAATTCATAACCAAACCAGGGATATTTGCTGCTTCTAAAGGACAATTAAAGCACATGTGCACAAATGCGTTTCAGAGATGTACCGTCATTAATTATAATTTTAGGAGAACATTTTGCTGTCATAATCTGCCAATACTTATCTTGCAGAAAGAAATACTATTATACATATTGTACCTCTGCCTCACTCCCTGGAGCACTTGCCAGTATTTTATCAAGCTCCTCTTTCATGGCAATTTCCAGCTTCTCGTTCATATCTGCCTGGAACTCGATTAACCCACATTTCGTCATTCTTGCAGCAAAATGTTGAGATATAGAAAGACCTGCAACAAATTAGGGGAAGAAAATTATAGAAATAGAAGCCACAGAAAAACTACACAGGAGTACTCTTCAAGTTCATCATATAAACTGCACGTTTGTCCAGGATACGCAGGTGGTGAGTCACAAATTATTGGGATGCAAGTTCTATCCTCAACACATTGAAGTTTCAATCTCAACCATATCACGGCATTAACTAATGTCATCGCAACGTGACAAACATTTAATGGGAGTCTGGATTTAAAGTAAGATGCTCACCCTTTCATTCTCACTGTGGTTAGTGCAAGGCCAGGACAACCGGAAGGAATGATAAATAACAAAATAATAAAATCCACAGCTTGTGGTAAAGTAATTTAATTCAGTTCATCCACAAAATGCAGATAATTTCACAAAATGAAATCCATTTAATTTTCCAAGTGTAATGAATAAGTAATACACTGTTATATTATTTCTACACCATGAAGCACTTGTAAAACATTACGTATGCTAGCCAATATCCATAATGCCTTTGTTTCAGCAGAGGTATTGGATGGGAATCAGGAATAGAAATCCTGGCAGATTTTACTTCACACTAGTCTGAGGGTGCCAAGCTCAATTATGCTGCTGGCTTAGCTGAGACAGGAAATTTAGTCCAGATGACAATTTACACTTATATTAGTGCTTTTCATTTAGGAGAAGGTCTAGAAGTGCTTTACAAAGTCTGATCAGACACCCAAAATGAGTGGCTAACTGTGCAGTCAAAGAGGTGCAGGCTTCGGGACCACATCACTCCCACCCTCGCTCGCCTCCACTGGCTCCCCATCCCCCAGAGGATCGAATTCAAGATCCTCATCCTCACCTACAAGGCCATTCACGGCCTTGCTCCCTCCTACCTCTCCGACCTACTATCCCCCTACTTACCTGCCCGTACCCTCCGTTCCTCTGGCTCCGGTCTGCTCCACATCCCCCGCCCCAACCGCCCTACCATCGGTGGTCGGGCCTTCAGCCTCTCAGCCCCGAGGCTCTGGAACTCCATCCCCAGTGCCTTCGCCGCCTCCTCCCTTTCCTCCTTCAAGGCCGGTCTCAAGACCTTTCTCTTTGACCGTGCCTTCAGCTCCCCTCTCGACTCTCTACCCCCACCTCGCTCCCTCCCTTCCCTCCCCTCATCCTGAACATTTCCCCCCTGCTCGGGTCCTGACCCAACTGTACAGCGCCTTGGGACGTCCTCCCGACGTGAAAGGCGCTCTATAAATGGAATTTTGTTGTTGTTGTTGTTTAGTTGAAAGCAAAGAGGGTTCCACAGAGTCAGGAGTGAAGAGGGTAAAAATTCACCCTTAGGGATTTAACAAATCAGAAGAAACTGACTAATATAATTTGGCTTTATTTTATTACATTTATATAGCGCTCTTCACATCAGACGGCATCTCAGAGTGCTTATATATCAGTACAAACCAAAAGGAAAAGTGAGCCAGAAGATTGGAATGTACTAAATGATGTTGAATGAACAAGCTAACTGAATAGTAAATATAGTAGCATTTAATAGAACACCTAGAAAATCAGCTGAATAGTTGAGGAAGATATTCTGGTAACTTGTCAAGGATGTGACTGTATTTGTAGGCAAAACCTATCAATCAATTTGCATACAGTACATGCCACAAATGGTAGAGGATTAATGACCAGGACACTAAGACAAACTAACTTATCTTTTCAAATACTGCCATTGAATCTTTGACATCCACCTGAACAGGCAGATGGGACATCGACTTAATATGTCATCAGATTGAAAACATTCACAATTTGGACTACCAGGACTGGAGTCAGGCTAAACTATGAAATGCAAAAATATGGGGTTTGAATCCACAACAGTCTACCTCTGAGGCAAGAGTCCTACCAACTGAACCAAGCTGACACCTAGATGCAATACAAAGTTGAGAAAAATCTAGGAGAGACAAAGGAGACATTCAGTAGAAGATATGAAAACAATATTAAGATTTGTGCAACCTACTGTATTAGAAGATCAGTAAGAATGTAGAAGACCACGATAGAAAGTCTGAAAAGACCCAGAGGATCAGAAGCAAGAAAATAGAGACTGAAATGTCGACAAGGACAGCATACTGCTGTTCATCCAAGTAAACTTCATACTGTATCATGCTTTCCCTCTCAGAGCTCAATATTGAAGGCATCCAGTGTAAAGTTGTTATTTTAATGATTAAAGGACTGATTAAAAGCAATTGCATATGGACACATGGAACGTTACTGCTAGATTTCTAGGCTATTCTGAATTAAGATTGAACCAATCTAAATGCCACGATTTATCTGTACATAATCGTTAATTCATATATTATTAGTAAATAAAGCTAATCCAATTAAATATATAAGGTATTGTGTCTGTTCAGTCCTTAGTTTTTCTTTGGAAGTAGTTATATCAAAACCAGCTGTTTAGACCACTTTAGAAAACGTTTGATCAGAAAAGAAAGCTGGTCTGCAGAGTAGTTTTAAAGGCCATTCAGACTAAGGAGCAGTGTGTTAAACTGCAGAGGAAATTAGAAAATTCTGTGCGCAAATTACTCACTTTGAAAGGTTAGTTGACTATTTGAAATTAAATGTTAATTAAAATCATGTTGCATTATTCAACATAATTTGAATAATATCACATCGCCAAAACATCTCAAAGTGCTTCACAGGACTGGGATAGTTAGCCAGCTTTGTAGCCTAATAGGATAGCCAATTTGCACACAGCAATCCCACAAACAGCTATAAAGTGAATTACCCATTTTATCTGAAGAATTGTTGGTGAGGATACTGGGGAAATTTTCCCTTCTCCTTTCAATTAGTGCTTTTTTTAAAAAAGAAGTCCACCTGAACAGGAGGATGGGACCCTAGTTTAATGTCTCATCTTAAGGATAGCACCTCCAACATTGGAGTGTTAGCCTGAACTCCTGAGCCCAAAGTTCGAATGTGGGTCTTGAACTCATAACCTTTTGACTCGGCAGCAAGAGTGCGAGACATTAAAATATCAATTTCCTACACATTGGAGGAACTCTCTTAAACCTATTTTATTCAAGGAATTCTTCTTCTTCAGCATCCAATAACTATACATGACACATATATATCCAGAATTATAAGAGAACAATTTGCTTAAATATTTCAGGTAAAACAATGGAAACTGTTCTAAAAATATAAACTGGAGGGGTACATTTACAGCAATAACAAATGCCTGGGAGTTTTAGGGTATTAAAGGGCATGGAAAAGGCAAGGAAATGAGATTAAGGATCTGCCATGATTTAATAAAACAGCCAAGGAGGCTTGACATGGCTGAATGGCCTACTTCTATTCCTATGAAACTGAGAGCATCAATTTAGACAGGGAATAACTTGCTTGATGAATCTACCTTGAGATTTTCGAGAAGATTACAAAAAGTAGAAGTTCACCAGCCTACACTATAATTTGCTTGGACTTGCATAAGAAAAATAAGTTTGTATAGAAAGGTTTCTAATTAAAGTAAAAGGTATATCCAAGGTAGTTAGTTAAAATACACAAGACAAGAGTACTCCCAAGAGGAGCAATATCCCAATGGGGGGAAAAAGGTACATACGTCAGTGCTAGGATTTCTATTGTTTCTAATCATATTAATGACCTGGATATCAATACTGTACTAATTTGTAAGCTTGCCAAAATTTACTAAGGACCATAAAATAAAGAGCAAAAGTACAAACTTACAGAAGTGCATCTGATCTGCATGTGTGCAGACATGTTGTAAACAAAATAAATGTTAAGTTCGGGATAATAAATTAGAAAAAGATGTTCACAAATATACAATGAAAATTAAATTGGCAGGAGAGGATTGCCTAGACATTAAACTGCCTTTCAATATACGGACAACTGAAAAAAAAACTTAAAAAGCAGCAGTTGGGAGCAAACCTTCGCACTGCGCAAAATATTGAATTAGAAATTTATTTAAGAATAAACCAGTAAGGGATGAGAACACAATTTAAAATGTAAAATAGTTCAATTTAACAATGATAAATATTTGAAATAATTTGCACGATGGGTGCAGGAGTGGCACAACTATTAGCAGCATTCTAAAAGCAACTGGGTACATTATTGGGTAAAATAGGGAAGTAGGGTAGTGGAGGGGCAAGCTATGGTGAACCAAATGGCCTTGTCTCACGTTCTTAGTTTCCACAGTCATGGTCTTGGTCCAAATTATTTAGCCTCCTGAGACAGGTGGAAGAAACACAAATAAATTTTCAGAAATTAATTCAAACAAGTTAAACAAGTTAACATTGAACTATTTTCAATAAGATTCTTCCATAGGCAATATCTGGTACAAGGAATACAAACCACTTTCTGGTCTTGTTGAGATTCAGTTCTACCCTCCACCTCAAACCCCCTTGCTTTCAAGGCAAGTGCTTCCACACATCTCAAATCCAAATGGTGATCTCCCAAAGAACTAACTGAATGCACATCAGGGAAAACAGAAATAACTCAAATATTGATCCTATATAAGTTTGGCGGCAATGCAAGTCAGCCAAGTGCCGGAAGCATTATAAAATCAAAGCCAATTCACAGGATCAATACTTCTAGATGAACATCTTTCATGACTGAACAAACATTTTCTATTTCGGATTAGTGTTGGCTGTGGCCTTGCCATTAAATGTGTTTACCAAGGAAGGTGTACTCATTACTTGTGTATAAATGTAATCACTTGGGCAAGTATCCAATTCATATAAACAGACCACCCTCTCCTATTGACTGAAGTGCTCTTTTCTCCCGCTTGCTGTTCAGGACCAAAAAAACAGATCCTTCATATTTATAAATTCTGTGCAATCCCCCACTAAGTTCAAAATTCTCTTTCCAATGAAACCCATAGAGCAATTAAGCAGTCAGAAATAACATACAAAGAACATATATACTACAGGACAGAAAAAATCAGTCTTAAATAAATCTGACAGATGATAGCGCAAAAATGATTCCTTGCATGACATTTTTGAAGTGTTAGATCCAGTCCAAGACTCACTTAGTC